TCGGTTCGGCATATCTACGGATTTGCACACGTTCAGTTCCGGGTTTTGAATAAGGGACGTCTTGGTTCCTGCATATTCAATTTGTTGGTATTATGCGCGGTTGGTTACGTGTAGAGGCGCAGTGCAGACAAAGGGGCGCATTGAGATCATAGCAAGACTTCATCGTAATACGCGCTTCCTGGTCGAATGCTCTGGTGGAGCTGCCATGTGGGTATAGAGTGGAGCACTCCGGTCTGTTTCCTATTCCAGTACCCTTACTCTTACTACCTTAACAGTAAGAACAGGGTGTTTATCAGATCAGATTGTGCACTCTGCTGCTCGCTTCCCCAGATCCTGTGAGCCGCGGACATGTCGATAAGCGTGATGCAAGGTAAGGGCCTTGACACTGCGGACATCATGGCCACTTTCAACACGCTTGCGTAAAAGTTCGTGTACCTACGGTGCACTATCTGATCGATCCGACAGCTTCCATATTCGTCAAAAGTCGTTAAGAGCCTAGATGCAAGCGACCCACCAGCAAACAACTCGCCTCCGATATCAGCACGACACGAACCATATCCACAGTCAGCCTGCCACTTAGTCATTCGGTATCACGGCACTGGTCTCTTTGGGCAATTTCATTGCGAAGGAATCGCCTCAACACATCGGCGCTGTATCCAATTGGGACGACAAAATCCATTTGTTTACATCCTTTTCAGGACGACGCGCTGCGTCTAACCACATGAGCCTATACGCTGCAGGCGCCGCAATTAATATGAACGATATGTCAATCTGCACTATTTCGTGGTCAACCATGTTCTATAGGCAACACGGTCTTGACGAACACCACGCGATGAAAGGCTACAGGAGCGGCTCCGATGCCCTGTTGTCGTCACACTAGTTCCCGTGACGTTTGACTATGGGATCAAAACGTCAAATTAGCCGAAATGTACTGCACGACCTGTCGCGGATCTCCCATGCTGTTTGTCTATGCTTGCGCACGCTGGCGTTGATCACCCGGAATCGCGTCACGCTGTAGTTGCTCCGCTCATGTAATCAAGTTTGGCGTTCATGCAACGGCAATGTTGCTTTTCCCAGAGTTGCCAATCAGCCTACTTACACCAAGCCAACGGCACGGGCGAGCACGTTCGAGCAGGATAAGCCTGCGAATCCCATAATAAGCTGCCATGTAGATCGTCAGGGTCCGATCTGTGCTCGTTAGGAAGGTAACAATCATAGGCACAAGGAACCGTATAGGCTAAGGGGATGCGCCATGTACCTGCATAGCTCAACGCGAGGGTTATATAATCAGTCACCTCTTCTCAAGTCATAATATACAGCTGGATATAGGTAAATCAAACACGAAAGGCAATAAAGATGATGAGGATGGCGGTGTGGTTATATTGATTGATTTTGTATGGCAGTGATCGCATGCATCTTTTGATAGTGGAACAAGATTGACACAAACAAACATTAATGCAGTGGTTCCAACATCCAATGGTGATTAATTTCGTACTCTCTGTGATAGACACTTCTCCTTTCCAACATAGGAGACGATTCTTGCGCAAATGTTATAAAACAGATCTATGTAATGAGACGAAAGTGCGCCAACGAGATGCACATAAGCGAGCCGACGAGAAGCTGACGCAAAGAAAACCGAAACGTGCGAAACCAAATGGAACGCCTCCGACTTTTGGCCTCCCATTGGCAACGGGACAGGAAGTAGATACACAAGAAAAGAACATGACTCGTCAATATATACATCGAATGCAATGTTGTCGTTGTTAACGTGACAAGAAGCATAGCCAGCCATGCTTCATAAGCCTCCCGGGCTTCAGTATAGAGAGACGCTGTTGATGAGACTATTATTAAGGGCGCCGTGATGATGGATTGTTGATGGTGGTGTTTTGATTTACATTTGCGAAGTGGTGGATGTGTTGCGTGGTGGTGCTGGGAAGAGGCTTAGCATAGGGGAGCGTGCCTGTGCTGTGGTCGCTGAGCGATTGCGTAGCTTGGCCGATTGATCCTCGTTTGGGACAGAGACAGAAAGTAGTTTGGCGGCACCGTCAGACAAAGCTTGCTTGTGTTGACGTGCTGAAGTACGAGCAGAGCGCTGCGACCCTTGACGCGCAAGATCGAGGGATGACTTGAGCTCTTCTTCGACAGTGGGATGATTCGTAAGTTGCGAGCCACGTCGAGCCAGATCAAGGGAAGCCCTGAGCTCAGTCTCAATAGAGCTGCGAGATTGCTCCTCATCTTGTGGCACTTCGTCGTCTGAAGCGAAGAATGTTCGCCCTTCCAGAGTGCGCCCTGGCGGTGTAACATCATCGTCTTCCTTGTCCTGGTTAAGAAACGCAATCTGCTCCGATAGTTGATCACCTGCTAGACTGTAGCCAAGTGATTTTCGGCTACGACGAGAAGGAATCAGCTCTGGCACACTTCCTGCAGAACTCGCCGAACGCCGTACAGGGGAGCTCCAGAGACCAGAGCCCTGGACGGAGGACATAAGGCTACTATCGTAGGAGCTTCGTCTGCTAAGTCGGACACGACTACTACGAGCCGAGCTAGTTGCGCTTTGGCTTGCGTCAAGCATTGGAAAGTGCCGATCGGAACCAGCGTACTCGTCAAGCAGATCCTCGTAGGTGACTTCTCTATTATCTTTGTACTCTTGAGGGACGAGGAGAGAGGGGCTGAGTATGAAGCCAGTATCGCCACTAAAGCGGTTGGCATTGAAAAATCCTGATGGTGTTGGTGGTAGTCCAGTACCCATGGTAGATGTGGATATCGCAGAAGCTGGGACAAGCTCTGGTACACTCCCTGTGCTAGGAACAAGTAACGACGAGCGGAAATTGTCAGAAGCGAAGCGCTCTCGATCAGCGGACGTGATTCTCGAACTGTCATTGTTCGCTTGCTCAGCAGAAGGTGTTTCGCAACAGCGTACACCGTCATCAGATGCACGATCCCACTCAAAATCACAGTCAGCTTCGAGTGCGTTGTCATAGATATAGTCAACGTCTTCTTCCCATGACTCCTCTATTGCGCGCCATGTGTTCGACTGGCGACGATGAGTAGGCCTCCGAATGGACATTCTCCTTGGGATACTACCCGAGCCCAATGTATCTGACATCTGTGATGAGGGTCGCGAGACAGACGGCGCTGCCCTCGGCGAGGCAGGAGATTGACCCCGACCGTGTGCTCTGGAGGTGACCGGTGATCGAGGGCTCTGGAAGGAGAACGATCCAAAATAGGGTGATCTTGGCGAAGTTGGGGTCTTAAGCGGCGGCTGTGGTGCAGGTCTTGGGCTGACAAACCTTTCTGGTTCCTCAGCGACATCTGCGAGACTAGGGCTAAACGATGGCGGTGTGGTTGCGTGAATAGCTGAGTCATCAGGCGTTGTTACTGCATGGCCGAAATACGACGAGTCCTCCAGTATTTCAGGTATTATATCCGGTGTGGATACAGCCGATAGCGCAAACGAGTCCCAGATACCCGACTCTCGCTTTGATCGAGACGATCTACGTGGGACTGATCCTGATTCTTCGTATGCGAGCTCAGGTGTACCAAAAGGAGGTCCAAGAGGAAGATGGGGTGACTGAAGAGGCGCCTGTACCGAGGAAGATGTGTGAGTATGTTTACGAGGGCTGACACCAGGCTGGGAGAAACTCTCTATGGACCGGGCTAGGCGAAGTGGTCGCCGCGACATTGGAAAATGGGGTGCATTTTCCGACTCGTGGCGTGCTTCTGGACTGCGGGGCGGTGACCTAAAGCCAAGGGCAGATGAGGATCTATCCTCTCCAGTTGCAAGGTTCTCAGAAGAAAAGTTCCTAAAATGGAGGCTATCGGTTGGTGTATCAGGGAGTTGCTTTTCGAGAGCAGCAATTTGATGCCGATCGGTGTGGGAGAGGTGCTGAAAATCGAATGGGCTGGAAATACGGCTTATTAGGCTTGGACCTTGTATGATGGTAAGCATGTAGGCTCGGTATTGGGAAACTGCCACTTACCAGCATCCTCAGCTTGGCTGTTGAACCTTTTGCTCTTTCGCAAGATTGATGATCGCCTCTCGTTGGCGTCCCCTTCATATTCATCGACGTTAATCATGGGCGTCTCACTCAGCCTCTTTCCCTTCTTGCCACGGAACAAAGATCTCCTCGATCCAGTTGACTCTTTATGGCTTCTGTTGCCTATTTGTCGATGTCCAGGTGGTGAGCCATGCCATGAACCTTCATGTTCAGCCATTTCGGAATGGCTAAGAGACAGTAATGAAGGAGTTAAAGACGTCGCGGTATTACTCCTTGACCGCAAGTTAAACACGGAGCTTCGTCTGGCCGGATAGGCTCTGGGTTGCTGTTCAGGCGAATGCATACCAGCATGAGACGAGTGCGTGGGATACTGTTCCAGCCAAGACTCTGAACTTGTGGTGGGAAAGTTAGGCCCGGTGGCCTGAGAGTCTACAGATGACTGTCGAGATCGAGAGGCATCAGTCTTATGGAATGAAAACATGGTTCCACAATCCAGAGGAAGTCAAGGAAGATAGGGTCTAATACAAGCAATGCGAACCGAGTAATGCTAGTATGGCGTGTGCAGGTCCCCACAAGTGGCCGGCAAATGTAGTTATGGCAACAACCATTGAAGTTGACAGGATATTCTGGGGAAACCTGTCGCGCGCACGCGAGCTCGGATGTTGTGAGTTGGAATGCCCGGGTTATTCGCCTACTGAAGGCGTTAGCGAAGTATGCGAAGGACTTGCCATTGGTACACAAGACCTGTGAGGGGTTGAGTTGGACGAGGCGAGATGGTTGAACTTGGGCCCGGTCTAGGATACAGGCGCGACAAAAGAGGGTAAAGGTATAGTTGAGATGCAATAACAGTCAAAGTAATATATGCGTACCTGGTCAGGTAGATAACTTATTTGCAGGGGAGTAGAGAACGCAAGAGCCTGGTCACGGACCACTGCAGGGCGATGGCTGATGAAGGGGTTCTGCCCTTCTGTGTGGGAATAAGACGAGGATGTGGTCAAGGAGTTAGGGTCGAGTGAAGGTTGGCGAACTGCACAGACCGAAGTGAGACAAACGGTGGTTGCGAATCAGAATGAGTGGTGGATGGTCCAGGTAGCTGAGCAAAGATTCGAGTAGGGATTGTAGTTGCTGAAGAGCGATCATTGGCATATCCCGTAGTATTGCATGCCGTGACACGGGAACAGGATGCTTTGTGGCCGGTAAAGTAACAACAGGTGTTGGGATGATCTCACTATGTAGGAACATGGCCGGCTTGGTCGAGCAGCGGAGAGTATGTGGAGAAGATGGAAGGTGCTCAGTGTGCTCCACCAGGTTAGTGACATCTAGGACGAGCAGGGACAGGGCTTGCTGCGCGCAAGCAGGAGTGAAGGACATGGGTGTCTGCCGCTGAGTGACGGCGCCTGAGCGTCTGTTAGTGGCTGGGGGAGAGCGGAACCAGGGGTGTTGGAGACGGGGGATGCCCGACTTCACAGGGCTCATGAGCCACTGACGATGAGTGCACCAGTGAACGCGGCCCGACAGGTCGGCCTGCGCAATATAACGTCGCAGGGGCCGTGAAGACCGATGCTGATTGGACATGTCAGCGAAATAAACGGTTAAATCTGCTGCATATCTGCTTTGACCACATCTAGGCCCGCTTTGCTACGAGGACGTGAGCTCCAATTTGCTTGGGATGCCGGCCGTTTGTTGTTGTGCACCCGAGAAGGATTCGACAACGCGTAGCAAGACATGTTGTGGCTGAAGCCCGTTGTCTTGCTGTTGTGTCCGCGCACAGCAAATATTTCGTAACACAGGACGCGTAAATTGTGCTGAGAATACGAGCAAGTATTCATCCACAGGCGGGGAATGGAGGATTTTGGTGGTTACATATAGCATTTGTGCTATTAGTGCCGAACAGTGCCGGTTCGCGTTTTCAGGCGGGCACGGCGCAATGCCTGCAGGGTTAGGCCTTGCCTGTGCCATGCGCCTGGGCATGCATAACGCCTCAGCCTCGACATGTCTGCCACTCTGACCTGGCTGTCTGGCTAAGCATGTCGACAAGAGGCGCAATTATCGTTCTAAGTATTGGTGCATCCTGTAGTTGCATGCCAGCGTGGATCAATAAATCTGTCACAAAGGGATCGCGATACGCGTTCGCGCTGAGACGAAAGGCTAGAGCAACGTCCCATCTGCAGATCTTCGCTCGTGAGACGGCGGAACCTGAAACAACCGAAGACAGCCCCTACACCGTGGCCGAAGATGTGTCCAAGGACTCGATACCCCGCCTCACTCAGACGTCTCAATCTACACAGGGCTCGTCGGTGGATCGATCCGAATCGTGAACAGCCCTCATCGAGGTCAGAGTACTTGCGATGATGTGTCGGAGCCCAGGCAAATCCTAAACATGTTTCAGAGCCTCTTGACACCCACGGTCGAGTTCTGGCTATCGTGGGTTGTGAGACCATGGTGGTCTGCCTCTTCGCTGCTCTCTAACAGATTCAGCGTGCACAAGATACGACCTCGGCCGGGTCGCACGGCCAGCGAAGCATAACCTCGAGATTGCAACGCTTCTGAATACGGCTGATGTTGCAACGCCGCCTGCTCATATCATGTTGTGATGTGGTCGCGTGCAATGGAAGTAGAGGCTGTAGATCTTCGCATCAGCTGCTGTACAACAGCGCCATTCGAGTCTGCACAAAGACGTGTGACAAGCGCGTATCCCTACATTTTTTTGTTCTTCCTGGAAGATGCACTCGTAATGAGGTCCAACGCTCAAGGCATAAGCCGTGTGGGGGTTTGTGGGCCGTCTGCTTCGACTTCAGCTGCATAGATGCGAAGCAAGCACACCGACAAATTCCGTAGCGCCCGGTAATGGTGGTACTGATGTCAGTTCCGTGTGCAGTTGTAAAGACCCAACAAGTAGCATTGCGAGTTGTTGGGCTGTGATTTCTCCGAAGCTGGGGTGAAGGTTCTCTCACGTGCGCTACTCTGCCAAGGATACACGTGCTGTGGAAGAACCTCGGGTTCATCTCATCATCATCACTGTCCTGTTACCCTGCACACGACTGTGCACAGCGTCTCCTATCACTGCCCGAGCTGGACACATCTCCAGTCTCCAGTCCCTAGTCTCCAGAGTCCCAGTGGTTCTTGGTCGCTGCGTGGTTCCCCTTGTTCCTGCAGTGGTCGCTCATGGCCGACCATAGATCGGCGAGAACCACTCGGAGCCTCCACCCTGCTGCTTCTCCCACGCACTGGCGGCCCACGTCTTACGCACCACGCCTCTGCGCGTCCAACAACGTTCTCCTATCAATCCTCTTCCCGTTATAGATGACGTTAGGTGCATGACGACTGCGCTACTTCCTCACGAGAACCTCTCTAGCGGGCTCGTAAGTCCTAGGTTCGGCGCCCGAACTTCCGGACACAATCTTCACCGGTGTATCCACATGGCTATCCATGCGCTGTGGTCCGCTTCCATGGAAACCGTCTGCACACGGCAATTACCTCATTGCGTCCAATTATAGGTGCTCGTCTTCGCTCCACTTTCCACTCGTCTCGAGGCACTGAGCATCGGAATTGAGGTTATCACCCAGGGACATGCTGCCATTGTTAGGGAGCAACTGCCGTGCAACTCGTACCTGTTCTGCTACATTGCTCCCGTGCAGCGTACCTAGGTCTGCGTTTCCCGGACCTATGTCCACGCGAAAACCTTGTTTCCTGTACCTGCAGGTCGTCCGCTCTGCCGTCTAACCATTTTCGTCAGACCGGCAGACTCTAGTTGGAACCGTCCATACCCCCACCTGATCGTTTGCCCCCAACCTCAACACTAAGTAGAGCATCTGCGTCATTCAAGGATCTTTACTCCTACGGAATCGAACGTGGATTCAATGAAGCCGATACCTAGAGGACCTCGCATTCGGCTCCGCTCTCACTAGTAAGCTGTGGTTTCACCATCGAGACATACAAAGTGTGACGGCTGTTGACAGCTGTAGCCACGACTTCGTCGAGTGAACAATCTGACTGCCATAGAACACTAACATGGAAACGTCGGTTGTTCTCGTATGGCATCTTACATTGTATGCGAAAACTATCTTCGTGCAGCCTCCTGAAGACCATGGGAGATACTTAGCAAGTTCTATCTCATGACAGCTATAAATACAAACATCCTCCATACAGCAACTGCGATGGTACGTAGCGGATGGCTCCGAACTGAGAACTACTCCGCCAATGAAGCGAATGTGGCGTTTCGCTTATCAACCTTGGCAACTGGCGGACATAATGGCCTTCCATCCCAGTGGTTCAACGCGGGCATTTACAGCCACAGTCGTACCCGCCTCAACAGGAGAGGCTCTCGCTTTCTCATACAAACGGTGCACTTGCGGATGAGTCGAACCTTATCTCACAATCTGTGGAGACGGCAGCGGATAGAAGACTTCGAGTATTCGTCCGATCCGATCTGATAGGTCCACTGACGCATAGTCCAGAACGCCGTCGAGATCCGGAGCAAGAGATAGAGTTCGCTCCAGACCAAGGACCTATTCGCGAACAGAAGTACCTGGTTGTCGGTTGAAGAGCCACTCCCACACGAAGCAAGCGACCACTGCCTAGGTACATAAGTCTATCGATAATCCGCACTCTAATCCTTCCAGAGCCAGAGTGCGGGACAACGCCAAGGTCCAGACGACAGTCAGCTGCGACTTTTTATTTGAGGCGTCAAGGTCATCATGCACGAATGCTCCCAACGACCTATCTGAGTTCTGGCCCACAGTTTCTTGTCATACGTAGAGGTCAAATCTTCAAGGAGCATGGATTTGCAGCTCGGTCACGGCACGTCTTGAGCATAGTTTCGCCATTGAAGTATACAGTAGTCAACATCACATGGGTCAGGCTATCTCTCCTCCTCATGCAGACCGTTCTTTTGTTTTCTTGATGCACGGCTGAAGGAGAGAGGGGCAATATGCATTGGACGGGAACTCCGCCGTTATTCAACAATGCTCCAACCCAGGGTCCAGAAAATCTTGCCTCGCTCTCTTGGTCTCGCACTACCCGTTGATGCCCAAAAGCACGAAGCGTAAGTCCGTTCAGATGCAGAGGTACTTTGAAAGCTGCTCCGTTGCTATTGGATGGCGTGTATGAAAGGCCAACGACGGAAAATCTACCACACCGGATGCCAGACCAATTGATATATTTGATGCAGTCATACAGACACTACACGGCCGAACGGGTGGAACGGTGATTACAGATGGAATGAATAGAAAATCCGCCAATCAACGAGTCCTTCACGCCTGATATACGCCACATTCGCAGACCTCTGCCTGTGCTTGTTTGTGTCGTCAGGAACAGGCGATACCAACTGAGGAAGCCGTGGCGATTTTCCTATGCACATCTCAGGTTCATCTCTTAAAGGCGCGCTGGTGGCCCACGGGCCGTGAGACATGGGTCACAATCCTTCGGTTGGCGATCGAAGAGCCACCAACACACTCTGAGCCGTGCCCCGATGTGAACTGCAGACTTCATCACTGGTCAAGGCGCACGATGCACAGCGGTCCCGTGATGCACAATCTGCCTCGGTTGGCCCCTTGAAAGGGCAGGTGTATGGCAGGGCCAAAAGGGTTTTCTTTGACGATCCAACAAGTGTGGGTATCGACGCAAGGCCAGACGCGTGCATCGGATGACACATCTAAACGAACATGGCTTTATTTCCGACCGCTTTTTGCTTTGTCCATTGGTCTTACCAGATGTATTCATTAGTGTCGCAATGCTCGCGTGAGTATTGAGTTCCTCTCTTACCATGACGTCGTCTTCAACATGACAGCACTGCACTTGAGAAGTGTAACGTATGCAAGGTACATAACTTTTACCAACTGCCATTCTGGTTTCAGAAATGTCCTTTTTTCTAGAAAGACCGATACTATGTCACTGGTAAGAGCTACAACTGCCGTTGGCCAGTGCGGCCGCAAAAAGCAAATGTCCACATCAAGCCACAAAGCGAGTGTCATTTCGTTTGCGAATTACGCAAGGCGTTGCAATATGCACGATGGCAATCTCGTCCTGCAGGTACAGCCGCGATGACAATACACGAGGTCCAGACCATGCTTCGACCTCTGAAAAGAAAAGGGACATATGGTGGGTGGCCAGCTCGGATATCGAACTTGGATGTCTTTCATGTCACTAGGCTGGATTCTTACACCGAAATAGTGGTATCTGAGTTCATTGTTTTTAGAAGAATCAATGTATACGAGATGGATCTAGACCACTAATTCCCAATTGACATCCGCGTGCAGTAGGGTAGGTTTTCATCGGACTGTTCCGTTGCTGATTGTTGGTAGCCAGGCAACCGGTCCAGACGATACATCGAAGCATGTCTCACGTTGAAGATGTGGTCTGACAGTTCAAGGATATGCTGCACGGACATGTACCATGTATACTGCGAGTAGTCTAGCCAAGCAATAGACAACTACACAGTGTTGTACATCTGCCGAAAACCTGCCGAGTGCCTTTCTCTCTTAGCGTCGTACGTCTTGTATATACACTGCACAGTACGTGTCTGGCTTGCTAATCCCTGCGCATCCAAGCAACGTTCTTGACCAAACTTTTGCAACATAGTTCCGGAAACGATTTGCTCTCCCTAGACAAGCAGATCTACGGCTAAAACATTACCGAAATCGATAAACGGATACATGAAGCCGTCCCCAAAGGCCGAAAGTATCAGTGAACACGGGTAGAAACGTGCACAATGCGGGGTCTGCCTGTCCGAAGACAGGCCGTCGATTGCACCGACTGGATGATGGGTTACCCTCCGTTTGTGTCGCTGATCGAACCCCCCCTGGAGCGAACAAGTTCCCTGTATCCCCAGTTCGTGGTGAGTTTGAGATACAGGGCATTTTGAGGTGACGGATCCGATATACTTCAAGATCCAGAGATCCAGATCCGGAGATATCGCTGAGTCTGGCCCATGAGAGTAGGCGGTAATACGGTTCTTTACAGCTTGCTGCCTGACGTACAAGCGTGAACCCTTTGCATTGTTGTTAAACGCCGATTTGAAGCAGTTGAGTGGTTCCGCAACGCAGTGCGGGAGGAGATGACGACTAACGCGTTCTTGTTGGGACAATGAGACCGAGGATAGGTAGCTCGGTCGTTATTGGCGTTAGTCGTTGCCTTGCAGTACTGCAGGCGTTTGAATGAGGCAATCATGACTTCGCACTGACAATCCTCGGGACCCAGGGGGGTGATCTTCAAGTACCGAGCGCGAGCGCAGGGCGGAAGATAAGGCTGACGTGTTCGTTGGGGAAACTTCGGGATTTGCAAGCAGAGTATCAGTGCGCATTACATGGTTTCTCCTATCTCGAAGAAGGAGATGAGTTGCGTGTCGAGGAAAGTGTGCCTGTTAGAACAGAAAGAGTGGGTGACATGGTCGTGAAAATCGATCGCCATTCGACAAGGTGAGTGAAGAGCTGGATCGATGAGTGCAAGAAACTGGCGGTAAGTAAGACATGGTTAGAAACACATAACCGCGATGACACAACGTAGCTCCTGCTTTGACAGGCGCGTTGTTGGAGCTTTCTAGGTTGATAAAATGAGAGTACGCCTTTGGACTTGACCATAGCTGCGGGACATGATTAGATTGATACGATGGACGCATTTGCTTGGTACAATCCTGCTCTTAGTGTATTGTTTCCTGCTAACGATTTGGGGTGCTTGGACATGTTGAGCCAGACGTCATCGTTGTCGTCTTTGGGTCTTCCATCAGCGACCCAGCAGTGTAGGAGGGGCAAGTGTGAGTTATGGTAGTTTTGCTTGCTCGTTCTGTGTGGTATTCCATATATACAATCCCGCAGTAACGAAGCCTGAATCAACCGGTACGCCCTTGTTCTGCATGCGCTTCCTCTTGCTGCCAGTTCCTAGTGGTGGCCCTCATCGTGGTGAGCGTCCTTGTCATTGAAGAACAGTTGCTCGGCAACAACGTATCCGGCGAATGCGACGGTGGCTATTCCGAGGCCAGGGAAGGAGCCCTTGAAGCGGTTGAAGCGGGAGAAGGGTCCGGTGTATCGCCATTGCTCACTGCAAAGATAAGTATGTGCGGCATCAGGCGGTTTTGTGGATTCAAGCGTACTATCGGGCCCATGGGTCACCCTTTGTGCCGTTCGCGGAGGCAGCGGCGAACTTCTTGGGGTCGAAACCGGTGATGGAGGGGCGTGGTGCCATGGTGAAGGAGCTGGGGCGGTCAGCAATGGTTGCGCGTCACGGACAAGATATCAATTGAGCACGTGAAGACCGGGTGCGTACTTTGTAAGCCTCGTGAGCGGCTGATGCGAGGCAGGGCGTTTGGAGAAGCTGGCGTTGTTCGTTCCTTGACCTCGAGCAGTCGCATCTCTCGATATCTTGGCGAGCGATCATCGCGCACGGCCTACACACGTAACTGCGGTTGCTCTCCCCACACCACGCATACAACTCCCGCAACCCATCGCTAGCAACAAACCGGACGCGCCCGCATTCCTCCGAGACAGTCTGTCACTCTCGCAGGCTCTGACTGAGCAACCAAGGCTCCCCTATCATTTGACCCACAGCACGAGCACCCACCAGATCCTCGACACCTACCACACGCGAATCGCTGCAACAACTAGAACAGCTCCACGATGCCGCCTCACGGGGGCCGGTTTCCCGGTCACAACCTCTCGAATCCTTTCGCACATCTCTCAGGCCCAATACCACAGCAGCAACAGCCAATGCACCAACAACACCAGCAGCAAAACATACAACACCCAGGCTTCGGTGGCGGCAACCAGGCCCACAACCTGAATCTCTTCAGTCAACATCAAGGCGGCTTCCAATCAAATGCAGCGCTGGGCGGTGCGTTAGGAGCGGCAGGTCTGGGAGCGGCGGCAGCAATTGGCGGGGCAGGCGGAGGGACAGGACTCGATGGACATGAAGCGCGTATGCGCTTCGCCCATGGCGCACAAATACAGGAGAACGCAGCTCGTGGTCAAGATGGCGCTAAAGGCATCGCAGGGCAGCGGATACGAGAAGTTTGGCGGTCAAACCTACATCAGGAAATGGATATGCTGCGCTCGCTCATCGATCAGTACCCCTACATCAGCATGGTCAGTATACCACTCTCCTACAGATCGGTCGGACAGCTCTTGTATAAGAGCCTTGTCTGATACGTGTAAAGTCTGTCGCTAAACATGGCGAAATGGCTTCTTTGAACCGTCTTGAAGTAGTTCCTATTCTGCTTGACCTTCCCCTCTATGAACTTTGCGCTCATTCTATGAACAGGACACCGAGTTTCCCGGTGTTGTCGCACGACCTATCGGAGACTTCAACTCGAAAGCCTCCTATCACTACCAGACAGTGCGTTGCAACGTCGACTTGCTCAAGATCATTCAACTTGGCGTCACTCTTTTCAACGTCCAAGGCGACATCCCGCCATCACATCTCGACATCTCAGAACTAAACTACAAGCCAAAGTCGATGCAGCGATATGCGAACAACATCGTTGTCTGCCCATGCACATGGTCGTTCAATTTCCAATTCTCTCTCGAAGACGACATGTACAACGAAGAGTCAATACAGATGCTAAAGAAATCTGGCGCCGATTTCGAAAAGCATAGGGACCAAGGCATTGATCCTCAAGAGTTCGGCTCGCTGCTCACAACATCCGGAATGACTCTGTCCGAGGATGTCAACTGGATATCGTTCCATTCTGGCTATGACTTCGCTTACATGCTGAAGATGCTCACTTCGAAATCACTACCCGAAGATGAGGACACTTACCGCAAGCTCGTTAACGTTTTCTTCCCCAAGTTACTGGACGTCAAGTATCTCTGGCGGCACGCGAACAACCTTGTCAGGCGCGGTGTTATCGGATCGACTGCAACCAACATACTCAACAACCTGGGCACAAAATCAGGCCTTCAAGATCTCGCTGACGAGCTTGGCTGCCAGCGTGTGGGAAACTCGCATACAGCAGGCTCTGATGCGTGGCTAACGGGTGTTGTCTTTTGGGAGATGAAGAAGAAGATCTTTGATGGAACAGTTCCTGACGAGATGAGCGGCCACATGTGGGGTCTTACCGGCGTTGGTCCACCAGCCAGTGCGACGGCGCAGGCTGCTGTTCTCGCTGCACAGGGTGCTTCACAGGGTCTGACAGGCTTCCAACAAGGTGTCAACAACACTTTCTATCCCGGTAACGCAAGACACGGTGTCGACGGACCAAGTACGCCCACCAACCACCCAGCGGGTCTCGCATCAAACACCCCTGGACCAAGCGGCATGATGACACCAGGAGGATACGGCGGATATGGCAACAAGTAGAACGGTGGCTATAACGGCGGCTACTATTGGAACGGGGAGTAGTATCCCAATGTGCCTCAGTCGTTCAACGGTCCGCATGCTAAACCTCTGTATAATCCCGCTTATGGTGGTCATTACTACGGTGGTTATGAAATCAACTGGTATACCGGCCACCGAGGTGGTGACGGGACGAAAGCGCCATAAGGGGCGTGGACACTTAGGGCTGGTCACAATGTAGGAAGTGATTGTCGGCGTCATGGGGATGGTTCAAAACGGCCTCGAACGGGCTGGCGTAGAGATAGTATTGTACGATACCCGGGGTTAGTGGTTAGTATGCTGCGAGTGCGGACCATCTTTTGATAACATGGTTAATGTCATTATTGCGTCCATCCATGACCCGTGCGTATTCAACGTGTCTGAAATCGAGCAATACTCTCAATTCTTCGAATTCAACTGTTGTGCTTGCCAAACACAGTAGGCGATTTGTGCAAAACAGAATCGAATTCGCTTGCACAAAGCAAGAATGCGGTTTCGGAGCTTGTCCGCCATACCAAAAGGCATCTACATGTTGAACCTCGTCCTCTTCTTCTCCATACGTCCCTTCCATTGCCATTCCTGGCCGCTCTTGAACTGGATTCCGCGATCTATCCTGCGAAGTTTGAGTGTCATTCGGGGACTGTAGTCGTCGTTAGCCGCTTATCCCAACTTGATCAATCGTCAAAGTGAAACTTACCCAATCTCTTGCATACCCACTTTGACGTCCTCAACGCCTGGGAGTGGCTTGCCATCAGACCCCAAGATGGGTTTCTCGCTCTCGCGCTTGTCACGGAAAACATAACGATGCCTTCGCACGAAGATGTAATCACGCTGGTTGTGTAGTGTGAGGACTTGGCGGCCTTCCAGCTCAGGCTTTGCAGGGAACATGTTCTGGAAGAGGTGTGCTGTGAGAATACCGAGCGGTGTCTTGAATTGGTTCAGGATCAGCTCAGGGTAGTGTCCTGTGTCGTTCGCGTGCCGGGGCAGCTTCTTGCCCTCGACCCAATTTGTGAGGGAAAAGTGGAAATGGGGGCCGTCTGGAAGAGTGACGATATCAAGTCCGTCAGGCTTTTTCTCGTGTTCGGCTTGCATCAGGATAACAAGCGCCGTGTACCCTCTTGCGCTGGCGAAACCGGCAATCTCCTTCACGCTGTACTTGTGGGCGTGGACGTGTTGCGTCCGTCTTATGTAGGTGCTGTTGGGGAAGAGCGAGGTGAGGATTTCGGCCTCTTTGTGGAGCGTCGAGTTGATGCTTGTTGTTATCAGGATCTGTGGGTCGTCGGTACGAGGGTTGAATATGGACGGGAACTTTTGCTTCAGGAATTCGGGTGATAGCTCGAGGTTTGTCGCGGTGGATGTAGCGCTGGGACTGGATGCGCGTTTCCCAGGCTTAGATGAGGCGGCGTCTGAATCTAGGTCGGAGTCGTCTGAATCGAGGTCGGATTCAGGCTCAGATTCGTCAAGCATGCTGTCTGCTTCGTCGTCCATGTCATCGTTGTCGTCGTCGTCACTGTCACCCTCCTTTGCTTGGTCGCGCTTCTTCAATTTGGCTAGTATGCCCTCCTCTTCGCCCTCGTCTCCCTCCTTCTGCGCGGCCTCGTCTTCCTCCACCTTTCGCCGCTTTGCGAGTCTTTCCACGTCTATGGCCCATCCCAGCGCATCCTCCTCGTCACCGACGGGTTCATCCCACACACGCTTGCTGTCGATAGTCGCAGGCTTGTTCTGTGCTAGTCGTTCTTCGCGGAGGGCTGGGTTTTTGTCTTCTTCTCGCTTGCGACGAAGTCTGGCGTCTCTCTTTTCCGATTCACGCGCTTTCTTAATCGAGAGGAACGCGGCCTGTCGGCGCAATTTGTTCTTGGGCTTGAGACCCGAGGCGGTGTTGGGGCTCTTGGAGAAGGCCATGCTGGATTCGAGTCGCGCTGCTCGTGTGGTGGTTCTAAATGTCTTCCCAGGTTACCTGAAGACGAGTTTGGGAGTGCACAATGTTGAAGGTCCTGGCCGTGTCCAACTTTTCGGTGGAGCCGCGGCCTGTGCTTTTCCGCAATCTTGGCGCGTCACACACCGGCAGAGATCCCACCATGTTGCAGCATGCCATTTCAAGGCTCGCGACTTGTACTATATCTGTAAATATTAAACCCCTGTCGCTCATTAGTTTTCTCTTGTCGGATGCAAGAGACTAGCCGTAGTATATGCGCCGACTAATTCAATTGCTGCGCGTCCCTCCATCTGCCTCGCGCCTCTCTTTACGTAGACCCTTATATCGTGCCCCACCTCCGCCGACTCATCCCACCAAGCACTTCTCGTCCACACCACCACTCGACAAATACAAGGTGCCACAGCGCAAGAACGTCGCCATGCCTAGCGATACCACCACATACAAGGGTAAGCCCTTTGAGCGGGCTGCTTTCGAGCAGCTCATGAAGGTATGCGCGTTTGACGAGACACTGCATGCATGCTCATGCTAACAACCGCCATTGTAGCACAAGTACTTCTATGCGCCCTCGTTCGACATCTACGGCGGTGTTGCCGGTCTCTACGACTACGGTCCGCCCGGCTCTGCCCTCACCGACAACATTGTCGACATATGGCGCGAGCACTTCGTCCTAGAGGAGGATATGCTCAAGGTCGAACCCACCATCCTCACCACACACGACGTCCTCAAAACCTCTGGCCACGTCGACAAGTTTGCCGACTGGATGTGCAAAGACCCCAAGACTGGCGAGATCTTCCGAGCCGACCACCTGGTAGAAGAGGTTCTCGAGGCCAGGCTCAAGGGCGACAAGGAGGCACGCGGCCAGAAAGTTGAGGTTGAGGAGGAAGACCCCAAGAAGAAAAAGAAGAAGGTCAAGAACATCGCCGCCGTGAAGCTCGAGGACTCCATGGTCAAGGAGATTGAGGAAGTGCTGGCCAAGATTGACAACTACAACGGCGAGGAGCTCGGCCTCTTGATGAAGAAGTACGACATCAAGAACCCCGCCACCAACGGCGAACTGCAACCCCCTGTTGCATTCAATCTCATGTTCCAAACCTCCATCGGCCCCTCATCCAACCTGCCGGCCTACTTGCGTCCCGAGACTGCTCAGGGTCAGTTTGTCAACTTCCAAAAGCTGCTCGACCACAACATGCAGCAAATGCCCTTCGCCTCTGCGTCCATTGGCAAGTCTTTCCGCAATGAAATCTCCCCGCGACAGGGTCTGCTACGTGTACGAGAGTTCCTCATGGCTGAAATCGAGCACTTTGTCGATCCCGAAGGCGGCAAGAAGCATCCACGATTCGACGAGGTCAAGGATGTCGAGCTTGAGTTGCTCAACCGCGACGTTCAACTTTCCGGAAAGACTACCGTTGAAACCACCAAGATCGGCAAGGCTGTTGAGACTGGTCTCGTAGACAATGAGACACTAGGCTACTTCTTGGCCCGCATCCAGCTGTTCCTGCTTAAGCTCGGTGTTGATCCCAAGAAGATTCGGTTCAGGCAACACATGGCTAACGAAATGGCACATTATGCTGCGGACTGCTGGGACGCTGAATTGCTCACATCATACGGCTGGATCGAGTGTGTCGGTTGTGCTGACCGAAGTGCGTACGATCTGAGCGTGCACATGAAGAAGACCGGCGCGCCTCTGATTGTCCGCGAGACAAGGAAGGAGCCTCTGAAGGTCGAAGAGTTTGTCTGCGAACTTGACAAAAAGAAGTTTGGTCCCAAGTTCAAGAAGGACGGTAAGACCGTAGAAGCAGCCATCGAAGCTTTGTCACAAGACCTTCGTGAGAAGCTATCCTTGGATCTTGAGAAGGAAGGCAAGATTGTCATCGACGTTCCTGAAGTTGGTGATGGCAAGGTAGAGGTACCCAAGGATCTCATCACCATCGAGAAGCGCACCCGTGTAGAGACCATGCGCGAATACACACCAAACGTCATTGAGCCATCGTTCGGTATCGGCCGTATATTCTATGCAAGTACCCATATGTTGAGAGGATCACGTACTTTGCTAACTAAGCCAGGCTCTATGTGAACATGTTTACTGGACTCGTGAGCAGGACGAAGCCCGTGCTGTCCTCTCTTTCCCTCCAGCAGTCGCACCGACCAAGGTCCTCATCGTACCGCTCAGCTCAAACCCCGACTTCGATCCGTTCGTACGGAAGCTGAAGGACAAGCTGCGAAAGCTTGGTATCTCTAACCGCGTTGATGCTTCCGGTGCATCCATCGGTAAGCGTTATGCCGTAAGTCATCTGTTTGCCCCAGCAATTGTGATCAAGCATTAACATATTCCCAGCGCAATGATGAGCTTGGTACTCCTCTCGGCATTACTATAGATTTCCAGTCTGTCAAGGACAACACCTTCACGCTCCGAGACCGAGACACCACAGAGCAGGTCCGTTCAAGCTTAGACGAGATCGCCCAGGCTATTTCAAATATCGTCAAGGGCGAAGAGACATGGTCAGACGTCGCAACACGGCTACCCAAGTTTGAGGGCCAGGAAGTTGACCCATAAGAAAACTGCAACCTAATAGTAAATGCAGTTTACGCTGTTCGATGACAAAGTTGAAATAACACCGAGAAGATTGCTTTCTACAGGATGCATTCGCTGATGTTGTCACTCGCTCTTTCCTTGTGCTACGCCGTGATGTCTAACCTGCCTGCGCCGTAAATGTGCGTCTATCCAAATGTGCTCACCGCACTTCGCGCCACCTCTCAATCGTACATCCTTTTCCATAGCCCATTCTACTAATCACTGTGTCCTGTCCCATATCTCTCCCGGTATCGCACCTGTGAACGCGGCACAGTTGTGCATCAACTAGAGAGGCCTAGCCGACCTGTGCAAACCAAATGTAATTCATGTTACATATTCTCGGGATCCGGGCTGTCCGGCACTTTTCCGCATATCGCATGATCGTCCGGCAGACATTACAGCTAGAACGCTCCTCATTAGGTTGCTCTCTGACGCCTATCACTTTCCACGTAGGATACTTTGTGGAGACGAGAAAATCAAATTACTCGCTGTTAGCAGGGGCTGATACCTCGGCGCCCCTGGCTTTTGGTCCGTCTATTCTCTGGTACACCGGGCGACTACCCGCTGCATCTCCTAGGATCAAATGTAACCAGCGATGACTCGGTCGCGTTGAGCTTGCTCATCTAAGCGTTAGACTCTGGAAATCTCCGAGGAGACTGTATGAAAGAACAGCACCCCGAACAGCCTCGGAGCCAGCGTATACTATACCTTATTCCATAAACTCAGAACAAGGTGCTTTCACTTCCGACAGTCTGGTTGACGATCTACTGGGACCCGCCCGTACCGCTGACTCCGACAGTATGGCCGCACCGTCAAGCCCCGCGCCAGAACTCTGTCCTTGGGCGAATGTGACACCTACAGGATCCTGCTTCCTCGGTACTCCGTAGGATCAACAAAAAGTCGCTTCACTCTGACTCTGACCTGCGGCTCCCACCCTTTGTGACATGCTGCAAGCCGGCAACAGGGCCTGAGTTCCCACGCGCTAACACCTGCGAACGCGTAGCATGAGCCGGAGATTGCGTTGTAACATAACAATGGACGCATTCATGTCGGCAACGGCTTGATTTCAGCATCAGCGCATTTACTCGTCAATCATACGGCCGCAGGGTGAAGCATAGATAGCCTGCTGTCTGATGCTGGGGTTAGTAATCGACCTGTGTCAGATCAACATGGCCAGAAATCAGCGGGCAGTAGAGCCCGCATATCGTTCATGTGGCTGAACATAATCCCATCCGTGTCGGTCGAGGCCAATTTCTTAGCATCCAAAGGTATTGGCGGTTCCGATCATCTCCTGCTAACACGTTCCAACACACCTACATCAATAGCAGCGCACCGTAAAATATCGCGTCAGTCACACACACATAGCGCGAGTTCCACTACCGCCTGCAGATCTCCTCGCCGTAAGTTGCCCGTTTACGCTTATGTCCAGCATGTAAGGAGCGTATACCCAGTATTCACGCGCCCCAGCATCAAGCGACCATCGCTTAGCATGCGGAACCTCAGGTTTTAGCACCAGTTTGCCAGGGTCCTACGAGCGCAGCACATGCTCAAAAGACAAAGCGTTTCTACTTCTTCCATGCGCTCATCATCCTCGTCTCGGCTCCCTCCACGATTTTGTTAGGTCCTTTGCGTCCGTCGGCTTTCCGAGACCATGGACGAGGGACAGCCACCACCCGAAGACGTGGTTGCCCCTCACACAGGCGCTCCACTCAAACGCCCACGAGCTGACTCGGAAAGTACGGCGTCGATCGAGTCCAAGTACGTTGCTGCTCTCTACTCTCGCATCTTTTTGCCACTTTGCATTTCGACGTGGCTGTTGGGCTAGATTCAAACGGAAGGGCTCGGGAGTAAACAACAATGATTGCAGCCTTACCAGACGATCCACCTTGAGCAACAACCGCACATCGAACAAGCTGACACCTTGATTGACAGCCGCTCTGCCCGCACTTTGGCTTCGGACGATTTGGAATATTTCCATGAAAATGGACGAACATACGGCAACGAGACATACTATCTGCCATGTGTGTACAAGCCACATAACGATTTCATAGAGCAGGATCGTTTATCTTTACAACATGAAGTCTTCGTTCGAGCACTTCACGGCAAGCTTACCACTGCGAAATTATTGCCCACCACACGAAGGATCCTCGACTTGGGTACAGGTCCGGGTCACTGGGCTGTTGCCATGGCACGTCAATACCCACAGGCGGAAGTTGTCGGGATAGACATGACTGAATGGGATATCGGTACCACTGAAGCCACGTTAGGCGATGCCAGTGTGACATGGGAGCTGGATGATCTCGACGTCTGGGGAAAAGAAATGGATGTTGACGAGCTGATCAATCAGCTCTCGACTCTCGACTTGGCTACCGAAATGGCTCATCGGAATCCGGTTGAGTCGCTCAGGAAGCCAAAATCAACAGTTGACCTCAATCAACGTGGAGGATCAAGTACTCCAGAAGAGTCTCTGACTATTGACCTCTCGACTCTCACACCCCAACCCGAACCCGGCTGGCATTTTAGCGATTCTTTCGAACTCATACATCTACGAAACATGAAAGGCTCCTTCACTCATTGGGAAGACGTCTATGCAGAAATATATAAGAGTCTCTCGCCTGGCGGGTGCATTGAACTTGCAGATTGGGATCTGGGCCAGGTGCCACTGGGTCCGGGTGAGATTACAGCAGCAAGCATACCCATGCCTACTCTTCGTAAACTGTATGTGGCGTTTATGGAAGCATCGTTCAAGTCTGGTCGTCCGCTCGGCCTCTTCTACATGCATCACACTTATCTCGAAGAAGCGGGATTTGAAGACATTCGAACAACCCACGTCAATGTCCCAGTCGGGCGATGGCCACAGGACGAGGCGCAAAAGTCGCTTGGTAAGATGATGTTTGTGTTGGGTATGGAGATGTTTGAACCAGTTTGCTTGCGCCTCTTGACGACATGGGGTAGTAAGAGCAGGGTCTGGACTGCCGAAGAGCTCAGGGCAGATATTGCAGTGGCACAACAGGAAGTCAAAGAATATGTCGAGCGATCCGAACGTGGAGAGGTGGAAGGCTGGTGTGCAAGCTTCAAGTGGGTCACTGCCAGGAAAAGCTGGCACGCTGAGAAGTGAGTTTAATTTGGTTATATGAACTTGTCAACATTTGCATTGTACGGGGTTGGCGGTATCGTGAGTTTAATGTTGGTGTTACGAGTAATGACTGCTTTGTACATTGTACATTTCGGCTATGACATGCAATTCAACTAGACTACTCTGTCAATGGAAGGAGTCCATGTACCTTCAGACGGTTACCCTGAGCCTAGACGGTCATTAGGATGTTGGCAAAGTCAGTCTACACTCATCCCCACTTCGCCGAACATGGTAGGCATACTCGTTGCATGGAGAATATGAAGTTCGGAAGGTGGAGCCGTAGCAATGTTATATATCAAAGAAACGAAGCTGCAGGTGAACTATCACACTGCTTTTCGCTTTTCCACAATCCAAACATGTCTGTAAACCTCTCAGCCAATATGCTCTTCGGAGTCAACGGTATCGTAGCCGTCATCACAGGAGGAGGATCGGGTAGTCCACCCATGCATCAGGTTTCACAACATGGCCCTAATGTAAATAGGAATCGGTCTGATGATGACCAAGACTCTGGCAGCCAATGGTGCCCATCGCATATACATTGTCGGCCGCCGCGAAGACGTACTCCGCTCAGCTGCAGAAAGCATCAACCCCGAAATCGTGATCCCACTGCCCGGCGATGTCACATGCCGCGAGTCTCTCCTCGGGATCGCAAATCAGGTAGAGGCCGAAACCGGCTACATCAACCTTCTCATCTGCAATGCCGGAATAATGGGACCCAAGCCGCTCAAAGCAGCACCGGGTGCCCCTTTGCCGTCGCTCTCAGAATACAGAGCGCACGCTCTCGAGACGCCCATGGAGGAATTTACAAAAGTATATGCGGTGAACACCACAGCTATATACTACACTACTCTCGCCTTTCTCTCCCTACTCGACGCCGGAAACAACAAGAACAACATGGGCGCAGACGTCGGCTCCCAAGTCATAACGACATCGAGTATCGGCGGCTTCTCGCGCTTACCCGGTGCCTCGTTCGCCTACAACAGCAGCAAAGCAGCCGTTACGCACATGACGAAGATGCTTGCTACATCGTTTGTTCCGTACGGCATTCGCTGCAATGTGCTTGCGCCCGGTATCTTTCCCTCTGAGCTTGCAATGGGAATTATTGGGGCGTTGGACCCAGGGAAGACTGGAGAGATGGATAAGAATATTGTGCCGGCAGGAAGAGCGGGGAGGGAAGAGGATATTGCGGGTGCGGTACTCTGGATGGCGAGCCGGGCGGGGAGTTACTTGAATGGGAGTGTGGTTGTGGTCGACGGGGGGAGATTGGGCATGTTGACGTCTACATATTGAAATGATTAGCGGTAGATTCGGATAGGTACTGCCCGTGCTTCATAGCAACTGTTGTTGTTGTTAGATGCTGTTCAGATTTCAGTACCTGAGTAACGGAAGCCCCACTAGCGCGCTTTCCCCTGCATGTTGCGGAGTTGAAGCCACACCTCCGCACCAGCTTGCTAAACCTCGACTACGATGCGCGCGTGCTGACCACGCGACAATGCCTGCACAAACACACAGGCTCAATTCAAATGAGCTTTTGAAGAAGCCTGGCTTCCTCGGCGCCGCAGCGCGCTTCTGGCAGGTACGTCACTCTAATAATGGGCATCGTTCGCGAATGGACAGCTAACAGACGATGTTTGCAGCGCTCGTATGCTTCGGACTATGTTGGCATTGCGATACTGACATGCGGGTATATATTGGTGAGTGGCCTAGAAGATGGCGATTCTGTGTAGTCGTAAATATCTAGAACTGACAAACTAGGCACAGATACAATTCCTCGCCGAGCCCTTCCACCGCATGTTCTTCCTCGACAACCTCGCCATCGGCTACCCACACGCAGAAGTAGAGCGCGTGCCAGTCTCATGGCTCTTCATATACGCCGGCGCGGTGCCCCTCGGTGCACTCATCGCCTGGGCTCTCATCCTCCGCCCCGGAACACACAAGGCGCATGTTACCATCCTGGGCTGGTTCATCAGCATGATCTTGACCATGTTCATAACAGACGTGATCAAGAACGCTGTTGGGCGTCCCCGGCCAGATTTGATTGCGAGATGTAAACCCGCTCCTGGGACGCCAGCACATCAACTCGTCACATTCGAAGTCTGCACCGAGACAAATCACCACGTCCTACACGATGGCTGGCGCAGTTTCCCCAGCGGGCATAGCAGTTTCTCCTTTAGTGGTTTGGGCTATCTTGCACTGTTCATTGCAGGCCAATGCCACGTTTACCGCCCTCGCGCCGATCTCGCCCGCGTCCTTCTCGCCCTCGCCCCTCTCCTCGGCGCTGCAATGATCGCTATTTCCCGCTGCGAGGACTATCGACACGATGTGTACGATGTTAGTGTTGGGTCGGTGCTGGGCATGGCCGTTGCGCATTACACGTATAGGAGGTATTATCCGGCCCTGAGGAATAGGCAGTGTGCTACGCCGTTTCCTAATCCGGCGGACGACAAGGGCTGGGGGAAGATCAAGGGCGACGAAGAGAGCTTGAGGGCTGCGAGTGAGTTTGAATTGGATGACCTTGATGAGGAAGATGGTGTGGAGGGAGAAGGGAGGCCGTTGAATGGGAGACGATAAATCGTGTGGTTGTCTTGAGAGATTCAGGCTGATCCGCTCTGACGTCTTTGCCTGCAGTCGCCGGCAGAGCCATGTCTCATCTGCCCTTCCGTTATGTAAAGCTCTTGAGAATAGAACAACGCGTGGTGGACGACCGCCAGAAACCCTACAGCGAAGCATCCAAGACCCATTGCAATTCAATACTGACTCTGTTCCTTTCCTCGCTGGAACGACCACTGCTGAATACGGAGCGTGCACGAGCGCGGGAACGGATTGTGATTTTGCAACATCTGGACTTTTTTCAGGACCTCGACGTCCCAGAGGTCTCTTGTGTCTTCAACTCACCATTGATATTATTAGACTAAGAGATAGTGACGTACTATATCTACTCAGCCTGAACCCAGCGGCTCTAGTACACAAAACCCACCACTTACGAACGCCGGTGATTAGCCGTCGCTCAGGACCGTCGAACGCTCACTGTCTCAAGCTCAATTGGCTTTTCTCATTCCGAATGTCCTGTTCAGCAAAAAGCAGCATGTCGTCAACGCTCCTGGACGTATACCTGCAGCACGTTTGAATTGGTACAGTAGCTAGGGTTGTCTCTGCTGCTGCGCTTTGCCATCCGCATGCGGTGCCTAGTTGAGGTTGTTGGATAGCTTGTCTGTGGTGTTGAGCTGCTACTTTGCGCGAGCGTTCAACTACTTTCTCAGGCCGCCCGCGGTCACTCTCGTGACCTATCAGCCCGCCACTCCCACCAAGCCGACCATTTCATCAGCTCGCCATCGAGAAAGTCGATATTCTCTTCAGCTTGTTAAATTGCTAGCGTTGCTACCTTTTAACGACCATTGCTACCATGCAGTCGAGCCTAGAGCTGCGTTAAACAGCTTTTGATGTCATGTGCCTGCCGATAGACTAAGGTCTTATGGCTATGCGTTCTTGCTACTCTGCTCCTCGTCATGTGTGGCTTTATCAAGGCTGGCTGGACAAACGCTTAAGGCTAGTAGCACCCTGCCATACTCTGTGGACACTTTCCTATTGTAACAGTCAAGACAAATCTAGATATCCTTAGACTCTGTGGCGTACTCCAGAGGAGGCTGGCAACACACATCAATGGTGCTACAGGCCGGCCTCTAGTCCTGGTTCATGGTAACCAAGAATAGGAGGGTGTCCAGCGTTAAGCTCCTATCCTTCAATGGACTTCAGACGTGTAGTCGTGTATAAATACTCCGAGTTGCGCAAAGGTCTCCAGAATCATCAGTCCTCAATCACTCAACTCATACAGCTACTTGTACGCTCGCATCTTACATACAGGCTTTAGCAGTCCAATACTTCGGAAAAATGGGTGACTTTGACCGTCCTGTTGTGAGTTGATAGCGAGGATCGGCACCTAGCCAATTTCAACAGCAACAAGTCCAGCTAACGTCACTTCCTAGGAGATCGCAAACTACTACTTTGAATGTCAAGGAGGCTACCTGGGCAACGTCAATATCAAGTTCGCAAAAAAGAACGGACCATACGATGGGCAGAACTGGACAACACTAGCTTTTCGCTTGACTGGTGCGAGCCACCAGAGCACCGGCAAACAAAGTCTTCAGAATATAAACAACCACGGTGCCCATGATAACATGATGAATTGGCTGCGGGGAGATGAACCAGTACGTATAGCGCGCAGCTTTCTAACTTTACCCAAACTCTGTGTTCTGCATCGAATGATGTTTCAACTAACCGTTTGGCGCAGTTCTACTTTGAATATGGTGCTGCCGCTGCTGTGTCCGGATTTTGGTCTTGGGGTTCACCCAAAACCACAGGATGGTACAAGCTTGGTGGTACCAAGTGCTACAGTCTCATGTTCGATGGCACAGTTGGAGATGTTAGAATCGGAGAAGAGAAAGTCCACTAAGGAAAGAGTTTTTGTAGCGGGTTCAGCGGACATATTCAATGGATTTCTGCTGCTATATGAAGCGTGCACTAGTGCGGTAGCGGGTTGTGATGATGATGTAACACTTGGACCTTTGCACGAGTTGTCTAGGATTGAAACGAATTCATTGGTATCTTCTGACCACCTCTTTATCAACTTCCTTACTCATCTCGGAACCTATTCCACCCCCATGCTCTTGATTCAGTATCTTGGCAATGCTGTAAGCTGCCTGCAGCCTCGGAGATCGACTTTCAGCCCAGTCACCGCCTTCTGGGAATTCAGAGTCCCGGCAAAATAGCTTGGTTGGGTTAAGGTTGAGGTGCATGTTACCAAGTGAGTCTTTGCCGCTTGGTCTCGAGAGGAGTTTCTCTAACACCAATCGCATGTCTTCAACTCTCTTCAGCCATCTCTCGATCCGAGGATCGAAACACATGGGACGTTGACGTGAAAACTCTAGGAGCAAGCCTGCAATGCCCGCTGCAATCGGGGTTGCGCAGGAAGTCCCTGTCAATCTCTTGAATCCAGGGTCTCGCTCTTCAGTAGGAAGATCCACAGGCCATGTTGATCTTATCCTTTCGCCAGGCACCGTGAATCTGGATCTGCCGCCTATGCCGAACGGATTGAAGTTGCTCGGTCTTCCCTCAGCGTTGGCTGAATCAACAGCGATGACTTCCATTGCACGAGCCGGGTACGCCATACCAGTCTTTGCCCAAATGCCTTCATTTGAACTTGCTGCGAAAAGCAACACCTTCTGCTCCCGAGCACGCTGGATTGCTGCATCGAGTGCATCGTTATCATTGAGCTGCCAACCGAGACTCATGCTGATGATGTCGACTTTCTTTTTGACGGCATCCGTAATTGCGTCCGCTACGTGTTGCTTCTCGATTGGTTCGTTGCCCTCGCAAACTCGATACACGTACACATGCGCGTAGGGACAGACGTCTAAGATCAGACCTGCGGCATGTGTCCCATGTCCTTTAGTATCGGTATCCCATGGCAAAGAAGGATGCAGCTCCGTTCCACGCTTGATCTTTGGCCCTTTCAATAACCCTGGTACCCGACCTTTCGTCAATTTTCTAGCTACACCGCTATCGATCACGGCAATCTTTACACGTCGCTCTGTTTTGGTCTCCTTGTAGGAGTCATCCTGATACTTATCCAGAAATACGTGGGCATTTTCACGGAGATTCTCAAACCATTCATCGACACCAACCTCACTGTATTATGTTAGCGAAGTCTCGAAAAGCCAACAAGTAGTCGCCACTTACGCTGGAGATCTATCGTCCTGCATAGATGTTTCATCTCGTGTCGGTACGCTCTGTCGTGGAAGATCTACGGAAGAAGTCCTTCTATGGCTCACGTTGTGTGCTTGTGACACCCGCAATTTATCTGACTTGATTCGTTCGTTCGATCGGGCTCTCCTCGCCTTCTTATCTGGGTCCGGTTCGTCGAAATCCCGATGCCAGCCCCCTGGAACAGTCCACTCTGCGGCTCCGGTAACTGATGTATCTGTCTGAAATATGGGAAGCGGTTTTGATGGGATCTCTGACTGAAGCTGCTTATCCCGAGCGGTTTTACTGACAGATGTATTGTCATCGTTCTGTGGCTCCCCACCAAATGCGTTCTCCGGTTGTGCTCTATCGCTTTTCGGAGAAGCGGACACAAGATCCTTTGGAGATTCAGGTATCGCTTTTTGTATCCCCTCAAGAGTCGGAAAGAATAGATCTTTGTACGAAGAAGGTGGTTTTCGCGCATTTTTTGAAGTATCATCAGTGCTCACGTTTAGAGATGGAGCGCATGTGCGACTAGACTGATCCACTGCCTGCTGGACTTGGTCTGGTGTCTTGGAATCTTCCGCTTGGTCTACATTGCTTACGCTATCTTTGGAGCCCAGTATCTGCGCTGATGCTCGATCAGTGTCTTTTGGCGTTTCGGATGATCGACGAATCCGCCTCGAGTCAGTCGACGCAGAACGGGGCTCTCGCTTTCTTCCGGTATTCGAAGTCAAAGAAGCTACCTCATAGTTTGAGTGTGAGCTCGTGGGTCTTTCTCCTTCAATTTTGACTCGAGATTCTACGTCGACTATAGGTGGCTCTTGGTTATCCTTTCGTTTCACGGCGTATCTCGAAGATGAATGCTCTGTTATCGTTATTGACGGTGCCGAAACCGTTCGCGACATCCTCTCATCGCCTGGATGCGTGCGATTCGAATGGACCTTTCCTTCGGAATCATGCCTTTCGCTTGGTTCTGAGACGGATGGAAGTTGTTCTGAACGGCGTTTGCTCCCTCCCACGGGTGTCTCTAACCAGTTCGATTCCCTGTATTGTTCACCCGCTGAAGCCTGTCTGTTAGCTCCCGCTGACCTATCCGGCGTTTGCGATTCCTGCACTGATTTCGAGTTGTCGCTAACTTTGTTCCGTTTGGAATCCACTTGTTCATGTTTTGGGTCTGGTATGCCGACTTCTCGTGTAACCCCTGACTCTGGTGCTGGCTGCGCCTTCCTCGCTTCAGCCTTCTCTTGCAATTTCTGGTCCTGAGTCTTTGTGCGCGCCTTTTCATTTTTCGTAGGACTTACTCTCTCTAGCTCTGAAGGTTTCTTTCTAATAAGATCTGGAGAACGACTGACGGTAGAAGATGATCGTCGCCCTTTATCTGGAGTAGCGCTTTGACTGCGATCGATCAGTTCGTTCCGACTAGACTTTCTTCTGTTGGACTGCTCAGATCTTTCTTCAGTACGATCTGAACCACGGATGACAGCAGAGGCAGAACGCGGACGCTTCGGTGGATCAGCATTCGACTCGATTGCTAGTGAATCCTTCGATAGATCCTTACTACCCAGAGGACCTGATGTAGAGTATTTTCTGTCGAGCTCTCTGAGTTTCTCTTTAGTAAGGCTTGGAGACTGCGAGACGGTAGAAGCAGAGGATTGGTGTTTCGCTTGCTCATTCCTTGTTGATCGAGCAGAATCGTCCTTCGATGTATCTTTCGCACGCGGGCGGTCAGAGACAGATTCCACCTTCGGCAAGGATCTTTTCGGACTTTGTGGCGTATTGGGAGCCCGCTTGTCGGATTTTGGACTTGGACTTGAGGGATTTATCTGGCTCGAAACTTTCTTCCTGACATCTGACTGCCTTCGGCTATTGCTTTCGTCCTTGGCCTCTTGGCCACTAGAGCTAGGACGTTCACGGGTGGTTCTCGCGGCATCACCGAAGTTCCGAGCCTGGCTTTCCTTCTGCGTCGCTGGTGGGTCTTGGTTTCGATGTTTTGGGTCTGTCCTTCCTTTCTCCTTCCACTCAGTTTGAGTTGCCTTCTTTATGGCTTCAATCTCTTTATCGACTTGTCTTTTTGTTTCTCTTCCCTTATTCACCTGTTCTGCTGCTCGTCTCTTAGCTTCGGTCGCTCGTCTTTCGGCATTGGCCTTTTCTTTTTCCATCGCTGTCTCCTTTTCTTGTGCGATCCGCCTCTTACTATCCTCTTCCTGCAAAAGAATCTTAGCTGAGCAGTTTTTTAGCAATTTTTTGGTGTCTTTGAAGCACTCCAGGTGGTCAGATTCCTCTCCGCCTTTGTATCGACCTGCCTGGAGTATGTCTAGCAGCTCGAGACACCGCGTCGAGGCATCGTTGTATTTCCCCAGGTTGAAGAGTTCTTTTGCGAGGTTGAATCTGACTTTCACTGTCTCGATGTGGTTTCTTCCTAAGCTCTGCTCTGCTCTGTCCAGGGTCTCAATGTTCACATTGACTGCCTTCATAATGTTGCGGTCCGAGCCCGATCGGAACAAAGCTGAAGTGAGGTCGACACGATCTTTGATAACATCCTCCATGGGTTTTCTGGCCTCAGTGTCCACAATGGCTTGGTATGTGCTGATTGCTTTGCCATAATCGTTATTGGCCAAGTAAGTGTCTGCTAATCGCCGCTGAGCATCGAGATGTCGCTTTTGTGCAGCCGAGATGACGCTGTTTTTCGATCCACTCAAGCTTTGGTATCGCTGGAGATTCTCTAAAGTTCTCTTCACAATTTCCAGATGACAGTTTGTGGCTCCCACAATGTCGCCCGCGCTCATGAGAGTGTCAGCCAATCGCTCCCGCGAGTTCAGCGTGGATTCATCCAACTTTCCGCGACGCTCTTCGAGCAGCTTTGTCGCTTTATCGAAAGGCTTCACTGCATCTTGATAACGCGCCTTGCCCACGAGGTCGTCACCTCTCTCGGTAAGCACTTTGATGTCATGGTCGACTGTCATATCACAAGTGATAGGACTGCTAGGCCACAGTAACCCCAGGGCTTTTCTTCGTACAAATATTGATCATAACGAGACCGCATAAACCGTATAATAGTACGTTGCTGGTGCCGTCGTGCAAGGGATCTCGGTTGCCGTCTATCTCCAAACGGTGGCTCGTGCCGCGAAAATCGCGAGGTCCGAAACGGTGCAGAACTGGATACTAAGTTGAGTCGCAGTAAGATGGAGTCCTTCGGCTGACCTCGTGATGCCGCTTAGGCAGCTGTAGGGTGGGGGCTGAACATAGTTCGCCTGCATGCCCCATATAGGCCAAGCGAATATGCAGCCATTCAACGCAGTACCGGACTAATTGCCCATTGTTAAGTAGCCCATTGTAATTGCGGCACAGCCCCGATACCCGCCAGCCTTCGAGATTCCCAGCCTGCATTTTTCACATTTCTCAAGTCAGTGCCGGCCATGTAGCTTCAATCTTCGCGGCGATGCGAATTAGTTCCACCACATGCCTGTACTTCCTCCTGCGCCTCAGAAAGAATCATGGATAAAAAGTCAAACTTCCCATGGCCCAGATCTGGGATCCAGGCGGCGACCTGCATCCATCCTTGATCCCTTGCCGAGTTTAGTCGATCGAAGGGCGCACACGTCACCTATCGTGGCTGCTGCAGCTGTCGAAGAGACCGGACCGGTCAGCCCAACGCTCCAACGGCCTTCTAATGAAGTCATTGGGGGAGCTTTCGTAGGAGCATTCTTAGGCTTCTTGATATTGCTACTCCTCATAAAATGCTGTCGCGGCCGAGGTCCCAAAGACGGCGAGAAGAATTCCACAATCTCTAGTTCTACATCTACAGGAAGAACCCCTGGAAACGGTCCCCTACCTCCGCCGCCCATCTATGATCCTCCTGGTCGAAGAAAGACGACCACAGGACAACGAGAAACAGAGAAGTTTGTTGCTGCAATCAGGGGGGAACCGGCATTAGTCGTGAAAAGAAAACCCAGACCGCACCGTCCTGGAAGGCACGGTGTAGAGGACTTGGAATCTTTCTCAAGCCACAGCGACAGGCAGGAAAAAGGAAGAGTATGTTCCCATCTCTGCATGTATTACTTCAGCCTAACTAAGTCAAACCATAGTCTGCTCGTCGTGGTGAAGGTATCGAAATCCATAGGATGGATATTCCTAATAATTTCCGACTACCTGGATTCGGCGAAGTGATAAGGGAAGTCAAACCTTAGGTACCAGGGCTAAGAAGTAGCATATAAAGATGCGCCATCCAGACAAAAGATCTCTTCATCGCGAGAAGATAAGCTTTTGCGGCGGCAAGCTGGGCTGGGCAGCTGGCCGGGGAACACACCGGATGCACACAGCCCCACCGGTCATGCAGCTACACGTATACGGACGCTCCACATCAGCATCAGCAGCTCATGCATACATCTGACATATGAATTTCCCCTACCCATCTAAGCTTGCAAACATCCTATCTAAGTAAGCATCAATTGTAGCCTTCCACCTCAGTCATCTCGCCATGTCCTATACAAAGCCAACTTACTTCCTTACGCCACGGCGTCCAAGCCCACCAGATGGACCCATACGCCTAGGGGCCATTATACCCTCACCAACTCAACCCGACGAGCCACTATATCTACCTCCGCCACCCCCGAAATCTGATACCAGCAAGTTTACAGAATACAACTGGAGCGGTTCCCACGCCAAACAATCATCGTCTCACTTCGGAGTCTGGACCTCTTTTCTAGAATGTGTCCTTGGAATTGGTGCAGATGTCAGTGTGGGCTTGGACAGATCTCACCACCAGAGCTGGAAAGTGGATACGATGACGACGCAGTCATTTTTACCTAGTCGCACTTTCCTGGAACAAGTGGTGGGACATGAAGATGTGAGAAGGTACATCACCGAAAACCGTTTCCGCGAGAAGGTCTATATAATCACCGGCGTTATGATCGCATCCTCGGCCGATATCTCGGGCCAGAGACTTCAGGAGAAGGGACTCTACGTTCATGCTGGCGTTGATGCGGCGGCGTGGGCTGGTGTGCCTAGTGGCCTTTCGTTCGGTCCAGAAGGAAACTGGAAACGCAAAGCTGAGACAAAGGAATCGAGTCGAACAGCAGATGATTTTGTCTTTGCGTATAGGATTCGTGAGATCAAGGTACGGAGGAAAGGTGGAGTCAAGGCGGATAAGCTGTATGACAAGGGTGCTTTATTCGATACGGACAAAAAGAGGAAGACAGAAGACTTGTATGAGGTAGAGGTTGATGGCTTGGGTGACGAACCTGATGTTGATGATGTCGATCTGGAAAATATGGAGGTCAGGCAGAAGATTGGAGTCGAAGGGGAAGAAGAGGAAGTTGTTTGTGTTTTGCCAGAACCTATGGATTGAGTACACAATTGCATGAACATGCAAGCAAAATGTATATACTGGGAACAAGTACAACTGCTCGTGGCAATATTGTGATAAGTGTTTGAGGTTTCCGAAGTCCAGGTGCAGGCTAGCTCCCGTACGCTAGTTCACCTGGGCAGTGGGCGGGCACCCAGGACCCTGACCTGAGGTCTCCACGGAACCACTCATCACTGAGATCGGCACCACGATCGCGCTGGGCTCTGTACCTTTCATGCGGCTTCTCACGACGCCGGCTGCATACAATACGAAGAACTATGTCGACGCCATCATTGCTACCAAGCACGTGTACGCACAGAGAAGGTAGTCGTGTTTTACGCGTAAGTCGCGTCGAAGCATCGCGACATGCACGCGTCACGACCGTCTGCTTGCGTAGTATTTCCACTCGACCCAAGTCCTAGCAGCCGTTGCCCAGGGTTCGGAGGGCGATCGCCTGACCAACAGTCCTGGCGGCACTGACCGATGGCTTTGTCCAACACTTAAATTTCCCCAACACACTCGACTTGTCTCATTTCGAGTGTCGTCTTTGACACAACAAGCACATCGTCGACGCTCCCGCTGCCGAGTCGGACCGGGCCAGTGAGCATGGGGAAAGGCTCGTCTAGGTCTGTGCGCACTTGCAGTACAATGCCCCTTGTCGTCCCACTTCAATTCGTCACCCTTGAACTGCTGGTTTGACCCAAAGCGAAACTGCGAGAAAACGATGCGCCGGAGTTCAAAACCTTGATACATAAACTTATGGATTGCTTAGACCTCCATCAAACAAAAATCGGGCTTGTGGTTTAGTGGTATAATACTCCCTTAGCATGGGAGTGGTCCAGGGTTCGATTCCCTGCAAGTCCATTTCTTTTTTGCTGACAACGACGTCGTGGCAGATGGTGCTGATGTCGCTGAGATCGCCCAGGATCATATTTTTGGCCATGTCAGATGGTCCGCGTAAACCGTCCCTCTGGCTGGTTCTAAGGTTGCTATTTGCACAAGACGCTACAGTGACTACAAGACTCCAAATCACGACTGTCTGCGGTTGAGCTTCCTCGGGTCTTCGTGTGTGATAGTGGTTTCCATCGTGTTTGGTTGGTTTGGCACCAGGTACCGTTCATTGCAGCAGTGCGCCATCGAAAGAACATACCAAGATGTCCCGAAGCATGTCTTTGAATAACACGACAAGGGACGCGAGAAGTTGGTGCTCATAGAGAAGGCATGACATTAAAAACCACTACCACCCTTCCCGGATGGGCCTCTCCTGAACGGAGTTGTCGCCATGAGCACGCTTAACAGGTTACAGCAAGATATCTTGTTGAACATCCCCCGAAACCGGGCTCGATGTCACCTGAAATGCCTTCATCTTTGAATTAGAGATCAAATTATCAGCAATGTCGATGTCGACAGTTGAGAGACTTACCAGCTGTATAGTATGAAAAGATCCAGAAACGCTCGATCAAGCTTTGTGGACCACCCTAACGTAGTATCGAGGGCAAAACAGAATCGCTGTCGACAAAATGCATCAACAGCCAAGTACAAGCAATTACTGATTGCCAATGTAACTCGGTTCATTACAGCGAGTTCGGTGGACAAAATCACGCACCGAGATGCATGTTGCTGGATCGGCCGAAAACTCGGTGGAAGACTAGATATATAAGAAACCCGCGTTGCACTTTGTAAAAGACATCTGAAGCATTGGAAAAAGCATCCAGGATCAAAGAGTCTTACGTTACCTCTTTTTCTTCAAAACTCCTCTCGAATCAAACTCAAACTCGTAGTTCAACATGGTCAGGATCGCAATCGTAGGTGGTACTGGGAGTATGTTTCTTGCTACGTTGGACGAAGCGAACCAAAACTTACATCTTCGAAGACGTCGGACAGGAGATTGTGGACGTGCTTGTCGCTAGCAAGAAGCACGAAATCTTGATCTTCACCCGCAAGGTCGGTACCCACCAGATGCCCCCCTGCAGACCAGTGCTGACTCTCCTTCAGGATATCTCGATGGAAACCACAGATTCGTCCGTTAAATGGGCCAAATCTACCTACGAAAATGTGGATGAATTAGTTGGTCAACTACAAGGCATAGACGTGGTATTGTCATTTATCGCCCCGCATGACCAAGAACAAGGCTTCTCCAGCCAGAAAAACATCATCGACGCGGCAGTAAAGGCCGGCGTTAAGCGACTCGCGCCTAGCGAATGGGTCTCGTAAGTCGCTATTATCTTGCTAGCTCTTTTCCCATATACTAACGACCTGTTAGAGCAGGCCTAGAGCACCTGGACTGGTACACCTTCAAGGCGCACACACGCCAGTACTTGACAGAGCTCAACAGCGGCAAGAAGGTTATTGAGTACTGTCTCTTTCAGCCGGGTCTCTTCACCAATTACCTTACTCCATACCCGTCAACCAAGCACATCAAGCCACTTGAGACACAGTGGGACTTTGCGAAGCGTAGGGCTATCTTACGGGAAGGCTCTGATAACGACTATGTCACGCTTACGACTGCGGATGATCTAAGCAACGTGGTTGCGCGCGCGGTGGACTACCCTGGCGAATGGCCGCTCGTGGGTGGTATTCGAGGGTCTCGTATTTCCATCAAGGAGCTCATCGCCCTTGGAGAGGAGATACGCGGTTAGTCACCCATCTACTTTCAACTCACTTAACTCCATCCTTTATTGTTTCATCTACTAATTAAGGAGTTTTAGGCGAGCCCTTCACGATCGACAGGATCCCGAACGAAGACTTGAAGAACGGAACATGGGACGCTTCCTGGCTTCCTAAAGTCGAACATCCCTCCATTCCACCAGAGTTTGTTGACGCATTTTCGAAGAAGATGGTGGGCGGTATCTCGTTGGCTATAGGAGCGGGATGTTTCGATGTGGGCGATGAGTGGAATCGTTTATTGCCTGATTTTGAGTTTACGGACGCCAAAGATTTTTTGAGGAAGGCGTGGGGTGATGAGAACTGATAACTTGGATTGATCTAGCGTGTTTCGCAGTTGGCAATGGCGGTAGCGCGACCAGTGTAGTCGTAGCTTGGGAAGATTCTCCTAGGGCAGAATCAGAATGTACTGTCGTTCGTTACTGCCTATGCCAAATTCTGCTAGAAGTATTCGACTTGTAAAGAATCTGATCACGGGATCACTACGACTGTGATCAGAGCTGTCGTGTTATCTTGCCGCATGTACCATGTCGTATCACTCCAAGGTCAGGTACGTTAACGAAGGTGAGGCGAGGTTTCGTCCGCCGAAGCTCGGGCGGGCGACCACATCACTACCCAACTCATTACAAACATGCATTCGCCTCCGTCCAAGTGCACAACCCCTCCACGTGAATATGCCGCCACATGTTGACTCCCAAAACGATGAAAGAGCTGCAAAGCGAAGAAAAGTGCGCAAAGGAACTCAGAGTTGCTGGGAATGCAAGAAGCGGAAAGTTCGATGCACATGGGCGTTGCTTACCAACTCAACGTGCGATAATTGTCTGCGAAGGAAAACAAAATGCGTCAGTCAGGAGTTCGCGGACGATTCACCTGGGAATACCAGAGTGACCGATGGAGGAGTAGAAGATCGGCTAGGCCGAGTCGAGAATCTGCTTGAGCGCCTGGTCAACGGCACGGCCTACGCAGGTCGGGACGCGTTGGGAAGTCGCCTCGGTACTGCAGTGATGAACGGTTTGAGCAACTCCGTTGTATGTATATCATGTTGAAGATTTGTCTCCAACTACGGCTAACGCCTGCAAGGACTATGCAAGAAACGTTGACATTACCCCATCCACTTCCCCAGAAGCTACATCGGCACTCACGAGTCCACCACAAAACTCAGAACCATTGCATAGCAATCTTTACACTGGAATATCTGGAAATCTCGTGGCAGCATGGCCTAATAGTCAAGACCTCGACTACATTTGCAAACTCCCAGTTGGCCTCTCAACACACTTGCACATCAAACTGACCTCATCTTCGGCCAAAGTCATGAGCCAAGTACCAGAAAGCCCTCGGGAAATGTTGCAGTTACCACCACCGGGATCGCATCCGGTGCTAATAGCCCGGAAGCTTCTTTTGTTAAGCAGTCTACTGCAGGGTGCGCTATCAGCAGGCCAAATCCCACAAGATCAGCATGGACATTTCAATGAAGTCATGTCTCATGCAATGGATGCAGCAGTGAGAGTTGTGACTTCCAACGACAAGTTGACCGCCTCTGTCGAAGGTATCGAGTGTATCATGATCGAAGCTATGATCCAGAACTACGCTGGCGACCTCCACGGTGCATGGATGACTGCACGCCGGGCATCTGCTGTTGCACAGATGTTGGGTTTGCATCGCGGCAGCTCAAAGCCATCTACTTTCAAAGTCCTGGTTCCACAAACGAGTTCAGGGTTCGATCCAGATCAATTTTGTTGTCGCATTATCGAAATGGACCGCTATCTGTCGTTGACGCTGGGACTGCCGCAATCTTCACTGGAGACTCGCGGGTTTGACGCTGAAGCAATGGCGGCATGTCATCCACTTGATCGCATCGCTCGTCTGCAGTGCATAATCGCGGATCGCATTCTGTCACGTCGAGTGGGGGGACCCAACAAGAAGAAAAGCGAGAATGTCCGACATATTGACGAAATGCTAAAGGAGGCGGCTGCACTCATGCCATCGCAGTGGTGGCTGACTCCGGACTTGGATGCCAACAACTTGACAGCACCGAACCCTCTACCAGAAGTCGCTCGTGCAATGTATCAGTTTTCTCATTTCCATCTAGTCTTACGGTTACATTTACCGTATGTTCTTCGCTCGTCAGGGAACAGCATGTGCGAGCACAGCAAAGCCACTGCTATTCATTCCGCTCGCGAAATCATGTCTCGATATATCGCCTTCCGTAAGTGGAATACTGGAGTTTACTACTGCCGTGGAGTAGACTACCTCTCTTTCATAGCCCTTGTAGTACTGTGTCTAGTGCACATTGATGCGCGTAATCAACCGATGGCCCAGCACGAAGTAGTTCTCGACCACAGCCGTCCGAGTGACCGCGCAATGATGGAACGAACAGTCGGCATACTACGAACCATGGAAGACGACGCCATCGCAACGAAACTCTCTCGTATTATGGAATACCTTCTTCAGGTGGAAGCAGCATCAGTCAGCGGAGTTGGCTACAATACTTTCACTAGTGAGGCTGACGAGGGGCTAGCAACGGAGTGTGACGGTCGGTTTATGGATGAGGAGAACGGCGTGCTGCAGCTCCAGATACCATATTTTGGTACCATCACTCTTCAGCGTGGGTTGGCTCCGTCTACCGTGACAGCTGCGGGGATTTTATCTGCCCAAGCATCTGAGCACACACAGCCATCACTTACAGAGTGGGACAATCAATGGTCATTGCTCGATTCATCAGAACATATGGGTGAACTTGACGATTGGACACTGCAGAGCATCAACGAAGGCCTTTTTGGGGATTTACTCGGGTTTGGAAGTACAGGTCAGGGCCCTGAGCCAGTTTTGGATGAGTCGTTCATTCACATTCCTTCCAGTCTTGAGATGGGAGAGTAGAGTGGAAGGCGCAAGGGTGGAGGCGTCTTCATCGCAAATAGGCCTAGCGCATCGCGCAAGGAAGGAGCTCTCATATCTGTCGAAGGGTAAGACGCGGCATCATGTTAAGATGTGGATTTCATGGTCAGCTATAGACTTGAAGGATGGTGTATGTGTGTGCGAATGTTCATTCCTAAACTTGTTCAAGTACTGAAATCCTCCAGACAAGGTATCTTTAAGCCCGTGGCTAAATAGCAACATTTTTTAACGCCGAAAAATGCAATCCAATAACACCAGTGTATGCAGATCGTAAATCATGATCTTCGTTTCGCGACACGTCCGCCGGTGCGTCCACCGGTAAAGGGCTTCAGCGCGCCCTTGCCTCGCGAGGCGGGGAAAGAGACCCTGTTCTGAGGTCTGCGGCGAAGTTGTTTCCGGGTCTGGCTCTTGTCCTTGTTCTTGCGCGAGTTCTTTGCAGAGGTGGCGGCAGCGTCAACGTCCATATCTAAGAAGTCAAAGTTAGCCCTTGATTCTCACTCAGCCAGTGCGGAGGAAGCGGGTCAAAGGCGAATTTGAGATGGCCGTGGTTGGTGAAGCCCAGGATGTCAGAGCACAAGCCCAAGTGGAAACAGAGATTTCTGAGCTGGCAGTCTTCGTCTGCTGAGTCGAGGGCAATGGAGGAGGGGTCGGAGAGGGAGCGCGGTATGGGGACAGTGAGTAGCGACGAACCTTTGGGCAAGTCCTCCTCCTTGGTGGCATCGTCGGCGGCGCTGGCTGGGACAGAGTTAGCGGGTGCGCATGCTAAGGGTCGGACAGGCGACTCACTTTCTTCGGTTTCCATGTCCGTCTTTTCGGGTTTGGGCTGCGCAATCGTCTCGAGAAGTTTGGCGTGCAGGCGCTCGGCGCGCGCCTGCTCTACGGGGCCAAATACATTGGCGCGAAGCTTGGTGCGATTCGCCTTTTTGCTGCTTGCTCGTGCGCCTTTGGCCATTGTGTCTGTGTGTGGAATTGGCCGGGAATATCTGGGGTGAAGGCGTTTGCTGGTCGGTGGGGGAAAAGTTGAGGGAAATTTAGTGGCAAAGCGATGCAATCAAGGCCGGCCCGTGCCCCAGTCGCGTTCTTCGCCTAGTTCCAGGTGACGCTGACTTCGGTATATACCCAGCTTGGAGATGCGCTCGCCGCGAGAGCCGCCGCCTACGTCGACGGCCATATAACCCACAGAGTCGCATTGTGGCCTCCCCGTCCGCTGGCCGCCCCCCGTCCTTGTTCCGCCCGCGCCTGTGTTGTGGTGCGCTCTGTGTCGCCGCCTGGTTCTCGGGAAGTTGCGACCAACGCCCTTCACTGCCTTCACCTCACCCGACGTCGCCTGCCAGAAGAGACTGCCTCAGACACCCGGCCCCAGATGCCTTCGCGAGATATTCTGCACCGGTAGCGCCTCACTTGCAACCTCCGACATTGCCAGCCCTCCCGACCTCGACCGTGACGGCAGCACACCATGGCGTCCAGCCTGCAGCAGATGGCTGCCACCATCACCGAGCGCTCCAAGACCCTCATAAACAACGACCTCAAGAAGATCCTCAAAGAGGAGGGCACCTCGCAGACGGGCAACAAGGCTGCACTGCAAGCCCGCGTCATTGGCCGTACGTCTCTCCGCTCCCTAACCCCGGGGCCTGCTGTCGCCTCGACACCTGCTAACTTCACCCTCACCAGTCATCGCCAATGCAGTCTCCAGGAGCGATACCGACCTTTTGCGCCGACTGCAGTACCGCGTGCAACACCACGGAGAGGCGCCTCCGCCAGCCACGACTAGTCCCGTCGCCTCTTCATACTCGCAGCCGCCTGCGCCCGTTGCCAACGGCTACAGCATGGCCAACGGGTACCAAAACAACGCCGCATACCAGCCCTACCAGCAGCCCCAGCAGCCACCCATGCCGCCCCGACCAACGTATTTCTTCAAGGACAGCCCTTTCTTCGAAATTCGCGAGCTCGTGCTGAGCAATATGTCTTTGGACGCTTCGCCAACTCATCGTGCCACCATATCGCGGAATCTTACCCTCAACGAGAACCAGTCGGCACGCCTAAGAGCCGATTCGTCCCTGCGATTGCTGCTCTTTTCTGCACTCGAACAGCCCCTGGCTCCTTACTCACGTCTCGATATTGCGTTCCCATCTCAAATCGAGGTCAAGGTCAATGACGAAGAGGTCAAGGCGAACTACAAGGGGCTAAAGAACAAGCCAGGCTCGACGCGTCCTGCAGACATTACTGATTTTGTACGCATGAAGATCGCCAACCAGCGTAACAGCATCCTCATCACCTACGCCCTGACTCAGAAGGCAAGTCGGTCGGAGGTTTCTTATTCCGTCAGCGCCCTGAAACATGACCCCAAGCTGACTTCGAAATCCAGAAATACAACCTATTTGTCTACTTGGTCAGAAAGTTTTCTGTCGAGGAACTCACAAAACGTATCAAGCAGCGCAATGTCATCACTCGTCAGTCGGTGCTGAACGAAAGTATGTCTTCGTACCAAGCATCTAGGGCACGCGGCATTACTAACCGTATCGCAGTGGTGAAAAAGGCCAATGATCCGGACATTGAAGTCGGATCAAGCGTCATGTCGCTAAAGGACCCCATCTCTACCTTGCGCATCGTCACCCCATGCAGGTCAACGGTGTGCACGCATAACCAATGCTTTGATGCCGACTCATTCCTGCAGCTCCAAGAGCAGGCTCCTACATGGACATGCCCAATATGCAGCAAGACGATTTCGTATGAAGCCTTGGCCGTCGATCAGTATGTCGAGGAGATTCTGAGCAAGGCTCGGAATACGGACCAAGTCACCATCCAGCCAAGTGGAGAATGGTCTACCGAAAAGGATGTGAAGCCCAAACAAAATGGGCACCATGACGATAGTGATGACGACCTCATCGAGATACCAGACTACCGTGTACAGGCCATCAAAACCGAAGCCGCGCCAACACCCACTTCGCTCAGTACCCCTCCACTGCCTTCTCGGGAGACTTCTACTGCCCCACGGTCTGCACAGAAGAGAAAGTCTGAGGTGGTGGATCTGACTTTAAGCGATGACGACGAGCCAGTAAGACCAACGAAAAAGGTAGCGTACACTACCCCCAATAGCCTTCCTGATCCGCACCGTCGGTATCATTTACCTCCCCTTGGTAGTCACTCCGCTGCCCATAATCGTCCACCGCCACCAGCCTACCACAGTGGGTCTCTCAGCATGCGCTCTGATTACTCCCGGCCTCCATCCACACCTCCACCACGGCATGGGTATCAATCCTATCGACCAGCACAGCCCGCTTCGCGGCCCAGCTATCCCGGACAGGGTACTTCCTCCTACCCTACCTACCTTGGCTCTTCTTCCCCTTAAACTACATGTTGCGCGTTCTTTTGTATCTTTCATTTTTGTACGACTAAGGTTCACCAGCTAACAATACCTCGGGTTTGTAGGGCAGAACAGGGACCGGATGAGGTAGCATAGCACCCACCTAGGCAGCCCACTTCGCCACGGACCGTTGCGCCGTGGGCAAGCCGTGTAGGCTGATCAAGTGAAGTTCCCTACATGATCCTCTCATCTCTTTCCTAAGTTGTCAAGAGAATTTAGCGCGAGGCGTTTGGGAGAGGCTATATTTCATGATCTATCTGCTTATGGCGTACAACACTGATTGGGGGCATTGAGGATACCACCGCATGGGAGATTTGCATGCATTTTGAAAGCTCACACCAACGACTTTCTGCGATGATGAGAAGAGAGTAGAAGCTGCGCGAGGCGAAGGAAGGGAATGTGGAGGTGCTATTTCATGTAAAATCGTGTAGCAATGACGTCTTTTGACCTCCGTCATATTGAATAATTTCAAGTCGACCTAGACTGATGTTTCACCGTGACAGAACTACCTAGCCCTTGGACAACTGCGAGTCGAAGTGCTTCATTGTTGGATACATTTTCACTTTGTTCTAAACTTCTATGATCTACTTGCAAGCTTGCGTGGTTGACCCTTTGGCTTCGACGCTGTTGCAGGCTCTGATGTGTCGCCATCAGATTTTGGTGCTTCACCTTCAGGTTTTGACACGCCGTCCCCAGATTGTGATCCTATTTCCTGTTCACGCTGTGCTAGAGCCTTTTCCCTTTCATCCAGCTCGGCCTGTCGCCGATCAAGCTCACTTTCCCGTTGATCAAGCTTCTTCTCTCGTTCGTCCAGTTCCTCACCATTTTGCGTGTCGGGTCTCCCGGTAGCATCCGATGGCTCTGTCTTTGCTGATTGTGCTTCGCCATCTTCCTGCTTTGCATTCAACTTCCGTGGCTTCTTACGACCCTGTGTGTCACTTTTTTGCGTCGAATCGCTCTTTGATGGCTCCGCAGGCTGGCTTTCGCTGGGCTTCGAGTCTGAATCTCCACCGCCAGCTTGAGCGCCAGCCTTTGCTGCGTCCGATACCTCTTTCTGATCCGGCATCATGCCCTTCGCACTTTCCATCCAGCCTTCGTCAATCTTCCCTCCACCTCCTTCGCTCTTGAATTTTTCAAGCTCTTCAGTGCCAGGCATTTCTTCCTCATTAGCCTGTCCCACCATCTTCTCTAGCGTCCTCTTCTGCTCCTCGCTTGCTGCCCATTGTGGGATCCAGCTTGTGAGCTTCTTCATCCCCTTTCCGGCTACTTTGCCCATATTCACCCACGGACCATGGATTGCCCCTGTGACTCCGCCCAATCCAGCTCCTATTCCACCGAGAAGGGTCGAAGAGATGCCGCCAACTAAAGTGCCTGTTATAGCACCCAACGTAGCTCCAGGTGCGACACCAAGGCCCGTGCCCGCTGCCATACCTTGGAAAGCACCTGAACGAAGATATTTCGCCGTCTTTCCGAATGACTCGGCCTCGATATGGGCATTTGTAGCCTCCTCTGTCAGTCTTTGTCGTTCGTCCGGATCACTGGCGGCGGCCGCTGCATCTTTCAATTCTTTTGCTTTCTTTTGTGCTGCAAGGGCAGCGTTCGCGGCTTTTCCAGATTCTTGCCGCACTTCCTCTTCTGAAACGGCAGGCTTCTTGGACTTTGAGTCGTCTTGGGACTTCTTGTCTCCATCTTTGTTTAACTTCTTTGGAGGCATGATTGTGGTTGTCGTTTTCGCAGTTGTAGCTGCTGCTGTACGTATCGTGTAAGCAACCCCTACCGGCAATGTACGTCATCGTCGCTAGCCCCACCCGAGAAGCCTGAATTGCACGCGTTCAAGACGCGTCAAGACCGCCCCAAATTTCATCCTCCATGCACGCGCGCTTTCCACTTTATAGGCACAATTAGTATCACTACAGCTGTTGACACGTCTCAGTCGATTGCGATGCATAGCAGATTGCTCTTGAAGAAATTACTCGACACGTCGGGACGACCACCTCATCGTAATGAAGAAGTCGCAGATATATGATGGCGGGATTGAATAATGTGCGAAGTTCAATACTGACACTGAATAGGACACTATCTACTAAGCGCGACACATCCGACCGTCCGTCCGAACAGTCCACGCCTCGCTACCGACACCAACCGTGGCGTAGAACAGACCAGAGGGATCCCACTTCTTTTTGATATTCAACAACTTGCCGTAGTTCTCTCCCCAGAATGTATCAGCGAAGTTTGGTTGACGAAAGTCAGCCTCGTTCACATATGACCCACTACCTGGTGTCGCAGCCTCGACAAGAGGAACGATTTCATTTGTCATCTTCTCCTGGACTGCAAACGCTTCCGACCACGGAGCTGTGAAGTTCCACGGAAGCGTCAATGTCGCGTGCACAATTGCTTTGCGCCAGGCTGGGTGGACTGAAGTCGTCTGCTGCGAGCCAAAAGACTTCACATCTGTTCCTACTCCAATCCAGGTCACTCCCTTTTCCACGACAGCCTTCCAGGTCTCGGTGATGTTGCTGACGACGCTCCGAGGAATCAATCGGGTACCGTACTGGGCAATACCTACTTGGATGTTGCCGAGTGGAAGAGGGCCAAAATACTTGTCGTAGTGCTCGTAGTACGTGTCGAACTCACTGTACTCAGCAGTATACTTGACACCTTTGGAGTCCAGCCTAGCAACGAAAGGCGCGAGCATGGCCTTGACCTCGACCTCCGTCTTGTTGTAGGCGTTAAGTGGGGAGATCATGAAGAACGAGGACGTGAAGTAATGGACCACCATTGCTCCGGCATCTACCATTGCCGGTAACTCTTCGTGGAATGCTTGGATAGCATCATAAAACACATCCTGGGCATTGTCCGTTGTGAAGAACGATAGCGAGGCACCACCAAAAACAGCCTCCTTGTGTGCCTTGACAGTCATCCCAACTACAACACCATACGTGCTGCCACCGCCGCCATTGAGAGCCCAGTACAGATCTGAATTCTCCTTGGGGTTCGCGTTAACAAGCTTCCCGCTGGCAGTCACGCCTCCCCAGTTCAGAACATTGTCAGCAGCAAGACAAAAGCTGGTACTGATGGCCGGGTCCCCCCCCCCCTGGGTGAAACCGCCAGCAACGCCGACTGTAGGGCACTCGCCTCCAACCACAACTAAGCCCTTGTCTCGGGAAGCAGCCATAAGCTCGAATCCCTGAACACCGGCACCAATCTTGAAAGCTGGACCGTTATATCCTGAGGCCTTGTATGCTGGAACGTGGGTAATATCCTTCAGATGATGTGTCCATACCGCGAGTGAGCCCGCGCCGGTGGAGCGACCTAGATAATCATGGCCCGTGTTGCGGATCACAAGGCGGATATTCTTAGATGCAGCAAATGCGATTGCTTTTTGGACGTCTGCAGGTCCAGAAGCATCAACGGCATAACGGACGTAGTTGCCAAGCTCACACGGGCGGTCTCGAGGCTGAAAGGGATCGCAGCTCTGGTTGGCAAAGAAAGGTGCCATCACAGATGAGGACGATTCATAACTAGCTACCTATGAGTACGACACTTTGAACACATACGATCGGTACCTACTGGATTCTCTCGTACTGCCACTGACTCTTCAGGCTCTCGCAAGTCGCGTTATCGAAAGTCGAACCGTGACAGGGTGCGCCAAGTGGTACGGTAGCCACCAAACGCCCGCCTACTGTCTTGTTCAAACTGTTCCAGTCCGATTGCGAAGGCCATGACTTGTCTCCGGGGAATGATTTGCATCGATTTGAGGTTGGATTGGTGGCAGAAACGACGCTAAGAAGCGTGAGAATGAAGACGAAGGAACGCATGACAAGGGCCCTGGGAGAGGAGAGTTTCGGCGACCTGAGGGATATCAACCTGCAAGACATACGGGTTAATATAAAGAGAAATTCAGGCGCCTTGCATGCACCGCGCCTCATGGTGGCGACAAGGCTAGAGTAGCTGTGGGACTACAAATCTAGTCTCCGGTGAGATGGGCCGTCCCGGTACCGTGCACCATTCTACGACCGTTGCGACTAATTTCATCGAATCCTTCTCGTCGGCAAGAAGTAATTACGACGTCGAAAGCGTCCATGGTCTGTAGATGGGCGATAGAAAGAGACGCTTCGTCAATGTGGACACACAGCTAATGAATGAACATGAACATCTCGGAATTACTCTGCTCGCATAGCACGGCGTAACTGCCATGGACGCGGTCAATTGGTAGTTGGGGCCTGCATCTATCAACAGGGATCTTTCCAAGCTTTCCTCTATCGAGGAACATCCGATGCAACCGACTATTTCACCGCAAGGGCGGGTCGGCGGCTCTCCAGACGAACTGCAATCGTCCCATCCCGTCTTTCCAGACCCTTAAAACTAGGAGATATTTCACCGAAGGATGCCGAAAACTATGCCCGTCGCAGTTACCAATATGCCGTGATATAATAGTCTAGCTCTGACAAGAAGGTGTCTTGTATACGCCAACGCCTGAGCTGCTTTGCAACCATGTGCATTAACAGTTAGCCTGCTATGACCTCGGAGAATACTGGGAGTATTCGCACGTTTCACCTCATATGAGGCTTTACTCTTCTCTCGACCAAGGCATGCCTCCCTGACCAGTACAAGATGGACCGGGTAAAGTCCATGCTCACCCCCACGTCTGTTTCCGACCTTGTTAGTGACCAATACGCCGGGATGCTCGGAACAATGCAAGTATTGGATTCCAAGACCTAGTAAGAGGAGCGATGTTTTTGCGATGGTGATGCGAGAATTCTACAACAATTGGAACGAAATCACCATAGAGAGGTCAGAGCGATGGGTTGGACCTACAATACTCCGGACGATGCCGCCAACGACGGACCACATATCACTGCTGTCGCAATCATCTTCACAGCCTTGTCACTTTCGATCCTGTCCCTTCGCTTTTACGTGCGTGGTTGGATGATTAAGGCAATTGGAGCTGGTACGTACCGTGATAGGGAACATGCTTTCGACAGATAACTAACGATTGCTACTAGACGACTGGATATTGATTGCGACTTGGGTCAGTAGCTACACTCTTTGCTGTAGTATTGGAACTGACAATTTAGCAGATAGCGTCCTGCGGCTTCGCCGTTGTGACCATCGTCCGTACGTTGTTTGAGCGGGCTGCCGCGACACTGCGACTGACTGTGTGATATCAGAAACCAAATGGGGCCTTGGACTAAAACACCTGGACGACATGCCTATTCAAAACCTATACAACTTCGGACTCGTAAGTACCGCAAGTTCAAGTGGAGAAGGCCCGGTCCTAACCAAACCAGATACAGTACATGGGTGCACCATTGTGAGGCGAAGCGTACGATACGATATCGATTCATTTAGCTGACTATCAAAGCTACATAACCAGTATACTCGGCTTCAAACTAAGTCTGCTGTTGACGTACCTACGTATCATGCCGAAGGGTGTGTCGCGTAATGCTACGATCGCTGTAATAGTTGCATGCATACTCTTTCATCTTTGCTTTCTCATTGTTCAGACGAACCTCTGCCAACCGGTAAGTCCCACTACCCTCCGTGACCCATAGCATTCTGCTGACCCGACCAAGGCTGCGAAACAATGGGACCCTTCTATCACCTGGGGTCAGTGTCTGCCAGCCGTTCCCTTCTACACCAGTATGGCGTCCTTGACTATCGTATTCGACGTTGTAGTGTAAGCAATTCACTCGCAACTGTCGACAAAAACTTACTCCAACTCAATAGCATGTTCCTACCCTTTCCCGTTCTCCTCAAAAGCCACATCCAGAAGCGGAAGAAATTCGCCTTACTCGGACTCCTCGCTCTAGGCACTTTCATCACAATTATCCAAGTCCTACGCATCCGAACCGTTCGAAACTTAGCCAACTATCTCGACTCAGGCAGTCTGATTATGTGGTCGACTGTAGAGAACAATTTGGGTATTATCGTCGCTTCTATCCCGACGTTAGCACCCCTATTCAAATACTTCGTCGAGAAGACCCAGAAGAGCTCTAATGGCAACTCTGCGACGCGATCGCGGTCTATGTACGGTTTGAAGTCGAGACGCACTACGAGGCAAGGTTCTATCCCGCTAGGTAGTGGTGTTCATCAAGCAACGCACGTTTCTGGGCCTTTTGAGGGAGGGAGCGAGGAGTTTATTATGGGTGATATCGCTGCTATAACGAAGAAAACAGAAGTCACTGTTTCTTCTCGTGTTCGCGAGGAGTCGGACAGGTCGGGCAAATAATCATCTTCCCTTGCGGGCAATACATGGAAGATACTGTGGTTCGATTTCTTCTTTAGCACCATTATATAAGCAGTTTTCATCTACAATATTACGTACGTCGAAGCTGACCTCATTCCTTCATATTCATTGTAAAAGTGTCTCATCATTTCAGCATCCAGAGGAGAGAACGTTAGATCATGGACCCTGTTTTGTTATCGAGCCTTCCTATAGAATGTTGTAATTCATGACACAACAACAAAAGTGCGCGTCATTTTAGACACAACCAACATCGAGTGGAAGAACAATATACCTGATCTGACGATGACAGGATAACGCATGCATTGGTGATCCGTAAGGCAACACATACGGTCAGACGGTTAGATTCTTTGGAAGTTTGTTCGCACCTCGCTAGCCTTGTCCGGCATGGAGACGCTCATTCCTATATCTGGTGCGCGACCAAAGGACGACAGTTTTGACTTGTACACGTGTGGTAGGCTATCTCT